AACTCAATCGATTTTTCGCGGCCGGGTAAACAATAAAATAAACGTTATAACAAGCATAATAGAAATGTTAACAACGGCACGTACTAATCAAGAGGCGTTTCCGACTAGGAGAGTGGTAAACGGGGCGTGGCTCCGGCGAAAAATGCCGACAGGCTGTCTATCAGGCCGAAAAAGGCCAATAAATTGACAGATTCCCCACTTTGGTATGCCAGCAATGTAGTCTGGAAATTGCATAAAGGCATGATTTAATGAATTTCCGGCAATAAAATAATTTAATTTCGGCCTAGTCGGCGGGGCGAGTAGATGGCTCATCATTAAGAACGTCAAGAGGCTTTCAAAAAATCCAAAAACGAGAGAAAAAAGTGCGCAAATCTCCGCATAATTTAATAACGTCAAAGTTGGGCCCGGGTGCCTCTGTTCCATTGCTTTTTGGGCCAAGGTGGTTGGGCTGCGTGTCGCATAATAAAATGCCGGGATGGCTGACAGGAAGAAGACGCCTTTTGGCCAGGATTTTCTTGGCTCCGCTTACATGGCAGCCAGGCTAATCTATGAGATGTGCTGGCTGCCACCTAAGCCGGCAGCTTTGATATTTCAGCATTAGCCCCATTAAAGTCAACATTATGAATTTTAATTTCGTGCACTTTATGCGAGAGAGGGTGCACTGAGCCGAAAAATAATGATGTTCACGTTAAACATAAAATATTTTTAATGAGCTAATGGATTTTAGACAATTTATTTGATTTTATGAAAATCTCTTCAAATTAGAATTTTGCTATAGAACATTTCGGAAGAACACCCGATTTTTGGAATTTAAAAAATCCATAGACTGATAGAATAAATATGTCAGAAATTCCCACATATTATATTTAAAATTCTTCATAATTTTTGTCACTGCAGCGGTGTGTCAGCCTCAATTAAGTGCGAGGACGTGCCCAGGACGAAAATAGCTTTCAGGACTGCCGGGGCTTCCTGCATTTGTCAGATGCTGCTAATGCCACTCCCACTGCATTGGCAGTGAAAACAAAGCCACAGATAAAAGTTGGGCGGCATCCAGGGGCGGGGAAAAAAGGGGCCAACCAGGGGGGAGAATGTCAAGCAGAGTCTCGGCAATCGCCTTACAAGTGCAATGTCAATTTGTGCACAAAGGGATAATAAGGATTTATGTCAAATGCTGGCGCTGTTTGAGTTTTGCCAATATTTTCACAGATGACTGCACTTTCCTCAAGTGAAAATAAAACGCGGCTTAAGCAGCAGTCGCAAAAATAAAAAAAAAGAAACCAAAAAGATTTTGCGAAAACACAGACCAGAGAGGCTTGTGTTTCATCTCAGACTGCACGGGAAAAAATTCAATAAATATTTTCTAAACGTTAATATTTAGTATTCGCATTTCCAAAAATAATATTTTATATTGCTTCTTTACTATACATAGTTTTTATTTAAAATCCATTAGCAAATTAATCCAAAATTTTTTATATATATTATAAGAAGAGCTTGTAGATAAACTTGCACAAAAAAAAAATTTTGGATTGGGTACATAAGTAAAATATAAACATTAAACCATTTAGGGTTCAAAGTTAGGCGATTGAACTTTGCACTCAGCCACCTAATGGCTACTTAACTTATTAATTTCCTGGATTAACAACAACCTCTTCACAAGCAGCTCTCATTAAAACTGCATAAATACACCAGCCAAGCTATCAGAAAGCAATTTCGCCAATAGCTAGACCCGAAAACCGCCCTCAGAACTCACTTGAAAAGTTGTGAACTTTCCACCGGCAGCAGCAACAACAACAACAACAACAGCAGGAGCAGTAAGGATACACTAAGGATACAACAACAATGGACCGAACAAGCCCAACTTTTCAAGCAGAGAGCTCAGAAAGTGCGCTTTGATGCTTTTACAAGTTTTTAGTGATTTTTTTATGTAGCCTGCTTTTTGGGGCTGGCACACACACACTCGCACACCCACACACAGACAGTCGGGGGAACACCGAAAGCAATCAGTTTGCGGTACACAATGTGGAAAAGGGGACTCCCCCGCCCTGATAGAAATCATGCTGAGTTGTGAAACGTAAAATTGAATTTACTCTGCCGCATTTCCACATTACCCCACATCCACACCCACTCACACCGAGGTTTTCCATGTGGCCGACAGTTTTTCACGCTTTTCACCACCAATTGTGAGCGGGACAAAAGTCTGCTGACTGCGTCGGCCCGTTCCAGTCATAAATCACTGGGCATTTACCATATGCAAGAGGCTCGCTTTTGGTATCACTAAACCAGGCATTAAACTCGGCTTTGACTTTCCTTTACCAAAGATATAACATATACAGCTGCGTACAAAATAATAATAATTGTCTTTGGAAAATTAAAAAATCATACATGGTAGTTCAGGATCCAATGTCTTTCATTTCTATCATCTAAACTAGGTGAAGGTCATTCTTAAATTATTAACATAAATAAAATATCCTGATTATAAGTTCAAAATGTGGTCTAAGTACTAGTTTTGCCAGTAAGGAAAATTATTTATTAATATATAATTATATTTCTGGTGATGGTTTGATGCATTTTTTTTTCATTTTTAAAAAGCTATTTATTTCATGATATAACACTTTGTCGAACTTATGTAACTTGTTCCTTCAATTACCACTAACATTTTGAACCGCACTGTGTATTTCCCTTCGTCTGATACCCTCATCAAATGCACAACATTTGCCTGCTAAGTGGAATTTGCTGGTTTTGCAACAAAAGCTAATGGTTTAGTTTGTGCAAAATGTATAACTCGGCCCCAAACTCTGGCTGTAATCAGCTTAAAGTAGCCAAATAAAATTGAATTCAATTGAATCGAGGCGAGTGGAGTTGAGTTGAGTGAGTTGTCAGATGTCTATAGTTGTCTATTCGGTTGAATTGTTCATGTAACTGTTGCGGTCTTGGCCATGTTTGCAGCCATTCGTGTTTATTTAAATGTAATTAATCTCCACCCAGCTCAGACTTTGGACTGGCCGCAGATCCAGCTTCAGTATCTCATTTGGATTCAGGTTGGGGCTTAGGCAATTAGTTGTCGGCTAAGTGGGCGCTGTGGAAAGTGGGCGTGGCCTGCCGGTGCTGCAAAATCTCATTTCCTACGGCCCAGCAGGATAAGCCTTATTTGGCTCTACAAGCTATTTATGTTCAGTTGTTGGACTTCCATCTTAACCGCCCAGAGGAAACTGTGGCAGCTTCATAAATACTACATAGATAAGTGAATAATCAGCTCTGGCCAACAGCTGGTTGTTGAGCAAGGGATAAACTATTAATTCTGGAAAATGTTTATAAATAATGTGTACTATTAAATCTGCACCATTCCGCTGAATACCAGGAACAGCTTAAGATGTTATTTTGGGGGTGGAAATCTTTATATTATTAGAATATCAAAGTGATACGTTATGAAAATATGGTGAACATTTTTTAATATTCGAGTATACTACTTTTCGTATATAGGTACTTATAATATTATCGAAAATATTGAATATCTAAGATATTTAAATTGTTTTCAATGATCATATATAATCCTATTTGGAGACACTTTCTCCAAGCAGGGTTTTAAAACCGCTTGCCATCGTTTTGGCTTTTAAAGCCAGTGCAATCTAAGCGGACCCCTGTGTAATTAATCCAATTTCACTGTGCGATATTTCACACTTAAAAATCAAACTCTGGCAATTTGTTACACCCACTCGCACGCACCCGAGCACCCGAAACTGAGCCAGGAACAGGAGTCCAAAAACCCAAACCGATGCTGAAAACGAGCCAACGATACACATGAGACGGAACCGCTTGAACGGAGTGAAGTGGAGACTCACTCTATAATGGAGATGGTTGGGGTTATGCGGGTGCGTTCGGTTGGTAGTATAGTACGTGAGCCCCACCAAAAGTGGCGCAAATAAATGGCAGTGAAATTTTATAGCACACTTGATAATTTCAGCAATAATTCAGCTCGGCTAATCACCGCATAAATAATCTTAAGGACGGCCAAGCTTAGCTCCACTCACCACCGCAACTACATGGCACCATCCTCCCGATTTATATATATATATATATATCTATTTATTTGCCAACTCCGCACAGTATGCACAGTGCATGAGGCGGTAAAAACAAATAGGGCGAGATTCAGACAGTTGGAGACAAAAACAGGATTCGGAATAGGAATAGGAATATATATATGTATATACATTTGGCGGGGAGCGATGGCTAAGCGGCGGAACAGAGAAGCAAACACGGACCAGCGGCATCCAAAACTCATGAAATCGAGAACTCGGTCGAATGGAACGTGAGCGAAATTTTTGCTAACGAATGTTGACTCTGCCAAAGTACTAAAATCAAATAAAGCCAACAGCTACAACCAAAACAAAAACAGCAAATCAAACAAAATCAACAATCACTTGGTAAAAGTTAGACCAAGTTGATGAAGACAAACGTTGGGCCATACCGAAAATATAGGGGGACCAAGTTAGGGCCAAACTATGTGGTTTGGTCATAATACAAAAATTAATATATATAGAGAGCACCGCCAACTTGTGGATCAGTCAGTATTTAAGCCAGGCAAACAAAGGTCGTAAATCCATGAAATTAACTCTCAGCTGGCAAAGTCACAGTTACAGAGTCCCAGCTCAAGATCCTGTTTTTGGAGCTGTCTGAATGTCAGTCTGTCACAGGAAAAACAACAAGGACCACAAAAATGTAGGTTATACACACAGATACACACACACACACCCGCAAGTAGAGGAGCAGATACATTGCGTATACGCCGCATGTGCCACGCGAATAGCGGAAAGGAAATAAAAGGCAGGAAAACAACAAAATAGGAAATTTAATGCGAACGCTGCGTGAACCGAAAGTTTAAAGCCAACCAAAATGGCAGACAGAAAGGCAATAATTTGTATAACTTTATGATGGCACAGGATTCAGGATCTTAGGCTTCTTATACCCCCCGAAAAAGAAATAAACTTGCTTGAATAATTTACCAGCAAATTTGCAGATTCCAACTCCAACGCCAAGTGAAATGGTGGCACTTGATTTTATATTTAAAGTTTAACTTATGGCAATGTTTGAACACTTTAACATTCGTTGTTTGATGAGCACTATCTGTTTGAACACTTTTTATTCTGACTGTTTGAACACTTTTGTTTTACTAGCTAGTCATATTTTGGGTTAATTCACTTTCGTACTCCCTCGGTATTTTGTATACTTTTTTGTTTTCTATTTTCCGCACCAAACAATTCGCTGGCCAGGCTCGTGGAGCAAGGCGATGGCTTCCACTTTCCACTTTCACTGCCAAACCGACCGTTAAATTCAACGTTCGCCACGCATCTGACTGATTTGCTCGCTGGCCATCAGATATGCACGGAGGCTGTGTACACGCACCCAGAACTCGGAATCGGGCAGTTTCGTCTCCCGAATGGGACCCATCGCCTCTGTTCGTATACCTCGGGTTCTCCGGCTCTCGTTTCCGGACGGAGTGTATAACACTGGGCCTCGACTTCGGCTCGGCTAAGGGAGAAAGGCCCTGGAATTCGCCGTGCTCGGTGGCAAGCCATTCTCGGTTATCTATGGTCAGGGCTAAGAGAACCGGTCCCCAAAAGAGTAGGTCCAAATCAGCTGGGCGTAGAACAGTTTATGTTTTTGCCCATATAATATGGGAACATGTTTTTGAACTTAACAGCTGTTTGCTCGAGTGCGCAGAAGCAGTTTGCATAGAATAATGGTAACAGGGAAACTGGATCTTAATATCATATAGACAGTAACTTGCAGGTTATATGTCTACTTAGAGTAATATTTTTAAAGAGGAAGGTATGTCTAAAAATGTGTATGGCCATTTCATTAAAATAATGGCATTGCTTAATTGACTTTCTTTTAAAAAGCATTATTAGATTTTATTTATTCGATATAATTAATATCAGTAATTTGAAGTTATTCGATTTTCACAAAGATCATTAGTTTACGTGCCTTGTATGGTTAACGTCGATAACGTGAAATAGTTAACAAAACGTTTATGGCTTATTTTTTCTAGAGGAGAACAATATATTAAAAAACCCCATTTTCATTAAAATTGTAAAAAATATAAATGAGAAGTTTTTGGTATACTCAGTATTCCTGGTCCCCCACTCCCCTAATTGCTGCACTCATAAAGCGGTTCCATTTAGACCTGCAGCCCACCCACCTTTCCCCCAAATCAGTTTGCCATTCTGGGGGCACTCAAATAAAAATGAGTGTGCGAAAGACGTAGAGCAAACAGCCAAGTCACAGATCAATATAATGAACCGAAAAGTAAGCCAGAAGCCGCAACAAATTGCCAGGGAGTCGAGTCGGTGGCCAACGTTGCTGCAGTGGCTCAATGTGGATTTTGATTTAAGTTTTAGCACTGCCGCGCACTTATCGAGCAATTGGGGGGCAGAATCGGGGGACAAGGATTATATACCATATAGGGGCCATATGCGGCATTCCAATGAGAGCCGAAAGTTATTTGCAATATAGGAATCGATACGACATGGCCACCCATAGATGATGTATGTGTGGCGTGCGGGTATCATCCCAAAGTGCACATCATGATTTTATTAAATGGACTCTGATGTATTTATTGTCCAGCAACAACGTGACTTGTGAATTGATTTCATTAAACTGAAAAAGTTAACAAAGCACCGCTCGCTCGCTCGGTCCTGGCAACATTTTTTGGACAAAGTTGCCCAGATAGTCGGATGGCTGGATGGTTGGATGGCCGGACCATATATCGCCATATAGATAAATATTTTTTTATAGCAATATGGGCGAGTGTGTGTGTGTTGGCTTAAGGACATCTATCGTTAGTGGCCAGGAGTGGAGACGAAGGATGAGTGAGCCTCAATGACCAATGGCAACAGCGGCGCGCATCGAGCGTGGAATATCAATGTGGTCGAGTGGCCAGAACCAGAAGTAGAACCAGAAGCAGAAGCAGAACCCGAACCAGAACCATCAGGACCATCCAAATCCAACCAACTGGCTGACTGACAGACTGACCGAATGTCAGTGTAGTCCTGGCCGGGCATCCTGGATGGTCCTTTGGCCGAACTGCTTTTTGTTGACCGCCCTTCGCCACAAATTGCCAAATTGTGTGAGTATGCGGCTTTGGCCTCGGCTTTGGCCGGTTTCATTTTGTACAAATAATGATGATAATGTTGATGCGGCTGTTGACTTAACGCACATAACGCTGATTAGCCACATAGTCCGAGAAAGCAATCGCATTCCCAAAATGCCCCAAGAACTAATTGAAGGGACACGGTAAAAAATACAAAATATTGTAAAATGGCTCTTATCATTATTATTTTATTATTAAAATAAAATATACATTTTAGGAATTTTTAGGATAAATATAAGAGTTCTTAGAAGCTTTGAAATTAAATCCCTTACCAACTCTTTAAAGAAATGTTTTCTGTGCAGGCCAGCAATTTATTCAGCTAACCAAATATCCCAGGCCATCGGAAAAGTAAGGACAAGGCTTGGGCCACCTGTTCAAGGGCTTTTTGTACTTTAGATGTCCTTGGCATGCGATTGCACTCAAACAATTTCTATTAAATGCGCTTTTAATTGCAGTCGAGAGTCTTGAAAGGCATTTCAATGGCAATGACTCCGGCCAACGCGGCGTATGCGCGATGCTCGAAAGAAAGCTAATTTCAGCATTAAGCAAATGTCGCCCTTTTCCCGCCCTTCTAAGAACTGCGAATTATACTTGAATGGCGGAGTGAAATGGGAAATGAAAAATTGCCAAGTAGAATGGCGAATGTTTACAACGGACAGACGCTGCCACGCCCACCACTCTCGAACTCCCACTTTCCCATCTCCACTCCCATTTTCTGGCCGTTTGCTGTTTGCCGTTGTTGTTGCATTGTAAGTTGTCCTGTTTTATAAATGTTGGCGGCAAGAACCACTTACATGAGCCATTTGCATCATATTTCTGTTGTCATTTGTTGACATTTTACTTGCCTTGTCCTCGCAGCATGTGTGTGTAGACACTTAATGTGCAGTCATTATTTTCCAAGAAACAAGCTCGGTAGCAAGCCAGCGGAAAAAACAACAACATAACAGCCAGAACGTGGGAGCATAGTGCAAAGGCGAAAGGCACCAGAGCAATAAAAAACCAAATGCAGAAGCGTTTCACATATAAAACGGAAAACAGACTGGAAAAAATAAATTTCACTTTATATAATGATGAAAAGAAATAGGGCAATGACTGGCAAATATTTTTTAAGGGATCTATTTTTGAAGATCATCAAAATTCTTTTAATTTTTATAAAATTCTTAAAGGCAATTATATAATAACCCCAATAAAAATAAACTAGTAGGTAACCCTAGAAGTTACTAGTAGTTAGCCTTACCAGTTAACAAATGTAAAATTATATACCTATAAATTAACTTTAGTTAACTTGTATTTAAACTTAGTAATTAACTATAGTTATCCTTAACCCTTTAAGCCATTTTTTAAATCTAGTTAATCTTAAGTGATTATTTCAGCATTCATTTCCCCAGTGAAGTAAGTAAAAATGTGAAGCCACCACCCACAAACACTTTGCAGGGCAGGTTAAAAAAAAAGAGAGAGAGGGGGCGAGAACGCAAGACAGAGACGGCAACAGCGACAGGGAAAAAGAAAGAAGCAGCGGCAAGGGTTCATCATTGTTTGCCTTTGGCCTGGGCCCAGAACTTGGCTAATTGCCTCGGCCCCGACTATCGTTTTTCACCAATCAGGCGAGTGAGTATTAATTAATTATCTTACCATATGCCATGCTGCATTGAAAGCAGAATTTCGCTGATTTTTATTTAACTTTGCACGCTAATTAGCGTCCATTCTGATGGCATCCTTTTTTGGGGTTTTGGCTGGGCAAGGATATGGCCAGAATCTGTCTGTCATGTCCTGGCAGTTGGCTCAACTTCAGTGAAGTTTTTCTTTAGACCTTCCTTGTTGGGAGCGAAAGTTTGCGGAGAACTTTATTCAAGTTTGGCTGTTTCCATTTATTTAGCATTTCTTGATTGACAGTTGATTTATAGTGTTCATCGACACCACAAAATTCGACGAAAGAGAAATTGCGTGGTTTTTTCCCATTTTTAACTGTTTGCCATAAAGCTTAAAGTTCATATAATTTAATTTACCATTGACGAATCCATTGTTTTCCATCTCCCTTTTGCCGATTTTTAAGGCATAACTAAATCAATGAGAGAGTGAAATAAAAATAATTCCTGGTAGAAAAATACAATTATTGACCTGTGCACAGTTCTATTCAGTTTTATTATAAGCTTAATTGACTGAGAGTAAAATATTTAAATGTACAAAAAAGTTCAGTTTTGTGACATACCTACCGACTGAAGTTTACCCAATTTATTGGTTTTTATTTACATTTTTAAGGTATTATACTAAATAAAAACTATTTCCTTCATGTCAAAACATAATAATGCGGTACACCATATTCTATTCATAAATTCTCAATCAAATCATAACCAGCATTTTGTTTTACAAGGTATAAAGCAATTTTCATAGCAAATGGTATTTGCATTTGTATTGCTGCGTGTTGATTTAAAAAATAAATGCCCTTTAGATAACTAACTCTAAGCTTTTCATCTGTTTTTCAATTATTTATTCAATATTTTGATGATAAAGTGTACTAGACAACAAGGCTAAATAAATAAAAGCACGAAACTTTATAGGGCAAAAGCAGAAAACAATGCTTAAACTAATTAAGTAATTAAAAAGGCATGTTCACGCGATTAAATATGAATTCATTAGAAGTAATAACATGGAAATAAATTAAAAACGCTGTAAATGTAAAAATCTATTGTGCCCTCGTAAATAAAACTAATTGAACATTACATCGCTTAAAGTGTCGTTTTTTCGTTGTAGACAGAATTTATGAGAGGAATGCAGGCATATTTATGTATTTAATTTGAATCGCAGCGACAATTAACTAAGTGGCTGTCCAAACTTTTAGCTAATTTGGCCTGGCGTCTGCCTGACCCCAAAAATCGGCGACAAATTGTTATATTTATTTCATTCGGTCAACGGTGGCGCCAAAAATCCGCTTGCAGTGCACTCCACATTTTTTCGCTGCAATAACACTTTTTTCCCCGTTTTTTCTGTTTGCCTGGCTTGGCTGATGTTTGCTCAGTGGTGTTTTGTTTTATTATCTATTAGCAGGTCAATTTATGATTATGGCATCTGCCTCACCTCCCCTCCAGGGGTTATTAAAGCCGATGTCGCTTATCTGCCCCAGCCATAATGCTAAATATGCTGGGTCCTTACACATTACGCAGTGTTGCACTTAAATTTCACACTTAAATAAACAACTTCCAGGCTGCTGCCGTCGGTTGTTGCTGCTGCTGGTTGTTGGCTGTTGACTGTTGGGGCTTGCACTTGGCCAGGCCCGGGTGCTTGGCCTACTTGGGCGCCCACAAACTGCTAACTGGCGAAAAGCCGAGCCGGCGGTGGGAGCGTAATGGTGGCAAGAATAACTCCTGAGTGGAACACGCACACAAACACGCATAAATTGAACAATACCCGGGCCCCAGGTCCTGGCCTCTCAGCATCCCCGTCCCCTGGGTTCTTATCCCTGCACTGAGACAATCTGGGAAACGTTTTAAAACTATTCTGTGGTTTCAAGTCTTTAAAGACTGTAATGGTTAAACTGTGAGTAAATAAAAATTTCTTAATTAAGCATTATAATTAAATCCTTAATATAGAACATATATATTTCACTGAAAACTATCTTATATTAATTTCAAAACTCTTAATTACATCTAAAATTGTATCATTACCTAAAAAGGTTATTATATTACATAGTATAGTATTAAAAAAAAAATATTAAGAAACATCAATCTAAAAACTAACAATTTAGCATTAAAAAATAAATTTCCTTGAAGGTTTTTGATATTAAAATTATCGATGATATTACTTATAGTTTTTTTTACCACCAAACTTGGGCAGTGTAGTTCCTGACACGGCACATATTATGGTCCCGCTGGATCTAGAGAGGGCGGGGTTTCCTGGGCGGAGGTGCTGCTGTGGTGTTGGCGGTGCGGTCGTCGGTGGTCCAGAGTTCGTAGTGACGGCGGGGCGGGAGGGGGATTGCTTAAAGTGCTTTTACTGCGCTTAATTCGCATAATTAATTTTGTTAGTAAACTTCGGGGGCTAATACATATTTTGCCACCGTTGATGTTCATGTTGCGTTGTTGCTCCCATTGTTATTGTTGTTGCTGCCTATTTCGCGGCAAACATCCAACTCACGCAGCTGCTGTTTATGTGTGTGCAGTGTGAGTGTGTGTGTGTGTGTGGGCACGGTCTATGCACGTGTGTGTGTGTATCTGCTTTTTCCGTTTATGTTTATTCATTGAATTTATGACATTATCGTTGCCTACTTTGCGGCGCCCAGCTTACGAACATTCATGCATGCATATTCACAGTTGCGGTCAAAATAAAAGGTATGCTTACCAAAATATAAATACTTTTAGACTTCCTTAAATAATATAATTATTCTGTGGTATGTTAAGACACTAAGGATTAAATAGTTTGAAAATTATTTACTAACATGTTTTGTAACACTCCTAAATTTAATTACAAATTTGGTTAATACTTGGGTTTAACATAATTTTTTAAATATAATTTTTTAAAAATATTGTTAGTACCTCCACTTTTTTTTGACCTCAGTTGTGGTGCTGGTAGTTATCCCCTTGCATGTGTGCATGTGCTGAGCCTGCAGGCCAGGTAATTGCACTTGTGTTTTGCAATCACAGCCTTGCCTAGTTTGCCAGGCACTTTATGTTCAATACGCTGCCGGCCATAGATGCATGTGTACAGTAAGCATACGCTAAAGATGCCCAAGGCAGTACTTAAAAATAAAAAAAAAGAAAGGTTTTATTACTCTTATAAATAATATTTTCTTATGGTAAAAAAGGTATCTGAAATTATAATTTAAACAATTTAGGAGACATTTTCTTATATAGAGTGTTCCGTAACTTCGTGCTGTTTTTGCATCTTGCAGCTTAATGGCGGCTGGCAAGCGTTTATTTACTTTATTATTGCATATTTGCATGCAGGCCCAAATGTGCGTGGTTTATGGGCGTGTGTGCGTGGGGCAGGACAATTGGAAATTGTCTGTTAACTGCCACTGCAACGCGCAAGGATGTGTGCCCATTGGAGCGTGCCTCCGCAGATGACTGCTGGCACTCACCTGCTGCTGCTAATGCCAGGCCATAATCAGCGGCCCCCGAAAGTGGCCAGAACCCCCCTCCCCTTTAACCACTTGACCCTCTGGCGTCTTGCGGCCAAAACAGTGGACAAACACTCGCCAGCGATCCGCTGATTGGGCAGGAGGTCGCCATTACCAACGCCATTAATGGTGCACTGCGCCATCGACTCAGATTTCGATGGGCTGTAAACGTGTGAGCCCGAGTCAACTAATGGCTTTGTATTAGCCAGCTCCGCATTAAGTATTCAGCCGTCACAGAACAAAATTTAATATTCAAAAATGTATTTAAAATATGAAGATACATATTTTTTAATTTTTATAATTTATATAGCAGGAAGTTTTATTCCCATTAATAAATTTCCGTTTATTTTTCAATTTAAATAGTTTAACGGCATTTCAACTAGAACCCAATTATTCATTTGGAATTAGAAACCGAAACAGGAAAAAGGACAACGGCACTAAATATAAAAGCTATTAAAACTCTCACTTTGTCATTGAGTCTGCCATAGGCCTAACCCACTTTAATAGACCAAAACAAATTACTAAACAAAGCATTTAGCGGCTTAATTAATGGGCACGCGGGGAAAGCGCGTTTTAATTATTCATTGGGCCGAAATAACACTCGACAGCGAAAACACAACATAATTAGCGCATAAATTAGTTGGCCCACATAATATTAAATCACAAATCAAATGCGAAATTGAAGGGTAGCTTTAATTTGTTGGGCTCATTTGATGTGCTATAAAACTGCACCACTAAATGCAACTGATTTGCCGGGGCAGTTGGATCTAATTAATCAGATTTCCAGTGCTTAATGTCCATTTAAATGCCGGGCGTGGCAGAAATTAGGGCTCTCAAGGGCGAGGGCCATCCACGGCGTATACTTAATGCAGTGCACTTTAAGCGTATTAAACGCTCTGTGCCTCCATTTACTCATTTATATATTGTTGTCCCCTGCCAGTGCGCCTGGCCAAGCGGATTCAACAGGCACCCACACAACTTATTTTAATTAAACGCATTATTTTCGCATTTTCGGTATTTGCCGCTGCCGCTTTATTTGTTTCCACTTATTAAATACTTTCCAAAATGGTCTCCAGCGTCGCCAGAAAGTCCACCGACCATGGCAGCCTGTGGCTGCTGTATTTAATAATAAAGCAGCCAAATCCGCAAATAAAGTGTAAATGATAAAATTTTTATTGAGAGAAAAGGCGACCGAGAGCACCGGAAAAAAGTAAATCAACAGATAAAATATATAAAAAAGAGCAGCCAACAAAATCCGCCAGAAATGAAATGACCTCAGCTTGGCACATTTTTAATTAAACTGCATTAAAATATATGGCAAGCGTTTGTTCAATATATACCATATATTTTATATTGAATTTTAGCGGAAAAGAACGTTTTTTTAATTAATATGCCGCAACTGACAGTCGTCGCAAGAGCGCGAAGCAAATTATTGCAAAGCACATTTAAGGCGAAACGAAGTGTGAAACAAATAAAAATACCCTAGAGATACAATAAACAACCATATTTAATTTAATTTATTTTTAAAGTTTTTTCTTAATTTTTAGAAAAAAAAAGTATTTTAATTGATTAACAGATCATGATTTAATAACCCTCGCATTTCACCGCATAAAAAGGCACAAGACAGAAAAATCCTGGGAGAAAGCGTGCACAAAAGCATTAAAATTATACCATCAGGGATTAATGTGCTTAATCGGGCGATTATCCACATCGAGAGGCGTGCCAGAACGAACTCCCCCCCTAGTTTAAACTGTTCCCAGCTGGCTGCGCATAAATTAGTCACACTGACCAGGAAACTTCCAAGTGGCTGGTCAAGTCAAGATGTCTACTAATTGCCATTTTACTGTCACATTTGCTCGGGGACTTACATGTGCATACAATTCACATTATCGTTGCAACTTGGCCGGCTAAGCCTGTGCCGGGAAATGGCCAGGGCCACGCCCCCCATCCAGGACTCTCGGGCGGTTCGTGTGCATTTTATTAATAATTATCCTCTGGGCCCCCACTGTGGGCTTATGCAAATTAGCGAACGGGCATTAAGTGCAGTTAACTTCAGCCTGCTTCGGCAACCATTTGGCGAATTTCAAGTTGAAAACGGGGAAAGCTGGCCGGTTCTCAACTTTACTTCCGGCATAAATTTGTTGAAAAGTGAAATGAATTACATGTTCTACGGACAGAAAAGTTGCAAACATTTTAGTTGGAATGGGGGAAAAGTTTAAAGCGAAAGTTAGCTATGCATAATAAATACATTCGATAATTGCCCGATTTTATGCTTTCAATTTTATGCTTTATTAGGAAAAAAGTTTGTGTTGGAAAAATTTATAAAAATATAAATTAAAAAAGAAGAAAAGGGAATATTTGGATAATTTAGGAATATTTATTTTTTAAGTAAAAATAAGACTACAGTTCTCATTAAATACAACGTAATTTTGTTTTTACCGTCAGTCATACACTTAATCCTAAAGTAAAACAATACAGTTTGCTAATTTGTTCGGAATAGACATCACTTACAATTGGAAAATCGCAAAGGAGCCCCAAGAACCTGCCCCAAACTATGCTATACTTTATGGGAGCGCTGGCGCTGACTTGCTGAACCGGAGGCAAGTAAATTAACACTAATTACAACATAATAACTATAAAATCGCAGAGACAAGTGCTCGGCAGACTCAACAGCTCATTGCCGGGCACTTGCCACTCATCGTGGAGCCGGGCCAAGTTCCTGGCCGGGCCAACAACTAAACTGAACTGAACTGAACCTAGCTGAACTGAACTGGCCGCCTGCAGCGCCGGAGAAAGGCAAGCAAAACAGAGTGCAAAACATGATTAAGAGTGAAATATTTATTTGCAGCACTTGGAGGCGCGCCACGGCAGCGCCAACAATTAGAAGCTAGGAGCTAGGCTACAAGTACCAGTCCAGAGTGCACGGGAGTTCCGGCTGGGCTTGGCGCCTCCCCGCGCCGACATGGCTTAAACATGTAAATGGCTGCAAGGCGAAGGAGCCCATGATTTAATGGCCTCCACTGCCAACAGAGCGGCGGCAACAAGTGCACGGCCTTAATGCTTAGTTTAATTGTATTACGAGTAGGTTGGTTACTATAAAGTCTGTGTGTAGATACTAAAATGCTTTAAACGCTAAATGCAAGCTTATGTCTAGTACTCCTCCTCCTCGTCAAAACCATAGCCAAACTCATCGTCATCGCCGCCCGTGTTGAGCATGTCCTGCAGCGTGGCCTCCGGTTCTGCCTCGGGCTCGGCATCAGCCTCTTCAGCTTCCGCCTCAACATCTTCGTCCAGTTCATCTAGGAAAGGATATACAGATTATTATGCAGGCAAGTCTTTTCAGTTAGTCGTTTTGACCCACCTGCTTCTACTACCACTGTGGCTTGGTATCCGGTTGCTCCTCATCCGCCGCCTGGCTGACTGGCAGACCCACCTCCACCTTGGGCCGTTTTCGACTGGGTCCGGGCAGATCGTAAGCTGGCCTGGTGGCCCTGCTCTTGGGCGCAATGGGTCCTTCCTCTACAATAACTGGCTGCTGCTTAATATCCTCCAACGTGCTTGGTTTGGTATCTGCACTCGTGGCAGGAGAGTCGTCCATCAGCCCACCACTGCCGCTGGTCAGGGTCTTGAGAACCTCATAGTCGATCTTACTGGAGATCTTCTTTCTTGCAGCATCTTCTCGATGGCTTCCCCGGCTGTGGAGGATGGTCCGATGACTTTTTTGCGCGGCTTGCGCTTCTTTCGCTCCGGCTTGCCCTCCTCACGCTCCTTGGCCAGACGCTCGTCGCGCTCCTTCTGCTCCCGAAGATACTCCGCGTTGAGGTTCTTCCACATTTCCAGCTTGGCCACCGCCTCCTCCTCGGTCAGTACATACTGATCCAGTTCATCGTCGTTCAGATCGTCGGTTATGAGTTCTTGTTCCTGCGGCTGCTTAGCCTTCTCCACATCCTCCAGATCGCTCTGGGTCACCCTACAAATGGCCTCGATATCAGGTCGCAGGCCTTCAATGCCAGCCACCAAACCACCTGGTTCAGCCTTCCGCACATCCTCGTTCTTGGCTATCAACTCGTTGATGACCTGAGCATTGGATTGTTCGATGAATTGTCTGGACTCCTCCAGTTCGAGATCCTTTTCCGAGGTGCTATTGGGTGTGCCAGGCGAGCTTATTGGAGTGATTCCCTTTCCTTTGGTCAAGTGGCGGTAGACGGAGTTGGAGTACTTGCCCAGGTCCTTTTCCAGATGAGCATCGATCTCCTTTTGCAGTTCCGTGAGCTCATGCTCGCCCATCTGAAAATGGGTACATCAATATTAGATATAGATACTTTAAGATATACACACTCACATCTTTGATCCTCTCACGATCCTTTTTCCTTGCTGCCTTGAAGGAAGGCGGATCCTGTTCGCGCTCCAGGTCAACGGTCATGAACTCCTCCAAAGTCAGTCCACCCGAGGGGGTTTCCGCGAACTCCGAGAGGCGCTTGCGGAGCGTTGACTCGTGGATCTTGACCACACCTATCACGTCCAGCATTGTGCGGCTGAAATCGTGCATGCGGGCCGCAATCAGCAGCGCTTGAGGTCGAAAGTAATCCCCTTTAGTAGCTGGGGCGGTTAAATTCCATTTCGCGGTTCACTCACCTGCGCCACAAAGGCCAGTGGGTCGTCGTCCCGAGTGCATGCAATCCTTCTTCATCCGCTGTACAATCCGCAGAGCCGTCATCGAAACCTCGTGTGTTTTGGCGCCCAATTGCAGGCGATTGGCAAAACGCATGATGTACAGACACGGATCTGCAAGAACAATAAAGATATATATAACTGGGGAGATATGGAACGAAATCCAAGGAAAACCTCAGCTTGAAATACCCTTGACGGTTCAACGAAAATATATTTATTACTAGTTAGTATGGTGATATTAATCAAATTAAGTCTATGAATGTAGACACAAATTAGCAAAAAACAATAAAGTTAATTTTAATAGCTTTGTAATAAATATTCTGTGTTAACTGGTTTTTTGTTTGATATTTCAAAGCTAATCATGAAATACATGTACTGTAATTTTGTTATCAACCTAAAGAAAAGAATTACACTACTAAGAACTAAGAAATGGGTCCTAAGAACTCACCTCTAATCGCTGATAAAACTAGTACTACCCTCAGCTAGAGTACCGTAATAAAATCAAGAGGTCCAATAAAACGGCTAACTGCAAGAGCATCAGCCGAAGAACTTGTTCGACGACCTTGAAGCCGGGTCGGTCTAGCCAATGAAACCGAAAACATTCAATAACCGGCCCACGTCTCCATGGACAGCTGCCGAAATAAACAATCTTGAACCCGAACTTCAGGTCCGATATTATTCAATTCATTCAACTTTTACATGGCAATGAGAGGTGCAGAGAGTCGGTTTCTGGAGAGTGAGCAGTCAGAAGACTTCGAAAGCCGAAGAGTCGTAAGCCCGACCGAGATTTTATATCATGCGATAAGTTTTTTTGGTGCTCTCTGCACGAACATCACGCATCCGTCACGTAGTCCCGCAAGGTTTTGGGCCATTCATTGGCCTATTAAACCGATAATTAGCCATATTTGAACTAGATGAAAGACAGGCCCAGCCAAGGAAACCCACATGTGCAATTAACACTTGGCCCAGTCATTCAGTCATTTCGGCCAGAGCGCAAAAACAAAAGCCAAACGCAAATGCAAACAGCAATTAACGCACAACAAATACGTCGAAAAAATAAAAAAAGCAAAAAAAAACAGTGCGAAACGCATTGGAAAATCAAAGCCAGCAGACACACGACCTTGCCAAAGTTATTTGCCAATCGTTTTTTATACTTTGTACTTAACTCACAGTTTACAATTTGCCCGCAAATTGGTCTGGGAAAAGTGGACGAAGAGGAGGAAACTCAAGATTATAATGCCGATTTTCTAAGGGCTTCGAGTGGATGGTCACTTGAATTATACAATTACATTTTACACAATTGTTTGGATAATTGTTTAAGTTAATGACCAAGTAAATGGTAGGCCATATCGGCTTAATTGTTCATATAATAATAATGACAGACGCAAGACTTACATCATTTATACTCAATAAAAGATGGACACATAGCGGGGAACTCCGTTTACTTGCAGTTTTTAAGAACTGCTTGGAAGCTAAATTATTTTAAATAAGTATTGCATATTATTTATTATTTGAAATTCGTTTATATTGTATGTAGAAGTATTTATTTTAAACCAAAGAAAATACTTCCATACATACGAAAGGTATACAAAATTATTTTATTTTGCAATTCAACAGATAATGTAATACCAATACGTAATATGTATATTTTTACTTAAGTACCAATTTACCAGTAATTTTTTACATATATCCACCCCTTTCCCAGGGCTTAGCACATTATCCCGGAACTTACTGCTAATCCTCCGCCTCTCCAGACCCCCAGTTGGTTGTTTGTGCAGCGCCACTTGACACACAAAGGCAGATGCTGTTAAACGTCAACCCCTGCTGACCGAGGAAAAAAGGGGCGAAATCGGGGGATGCTTGTCAAAGTCTCGCCAACTGTACTCCTCAAACAAAACAAAAAAAAACTCCGGCAAAGGAGGAAAAAATTATTTATTAAACCCTAATGAATGGGCACATTTGTGGAGGCCCAGCGCGCAGCAGCCCTCAAACTCTGGCGCCCCCTGAATGAGCCCCACCCCATTCACAATCCTCTTAACCACCGCCCCTGCTTTTTTGTTGCTACTGCCGTCGAGTGCTCCACTTGAAAAATGATGCCGCTGATGCGGTGACTACGAACTGCGAACTGCGATCGGAAACTGTGACTGCATTGACCCTTCAGCACAGCGCCCACTCATCTGCCACAGCTGTTACTCGAACTGCTGCTGATGCCGCTGTAACTGTTACTGCTGCACTTGAAGAAAAGTGTTTTAATTAAATAAAAAAAATACTATTTAATACGATACTTATCTGACTTTTAAGGCCTTGTCACAGGAATAAGTACAAATTATAGCTAAGAATATTTTTTTCCAAACTACTTTAAAATATAGGGTGTCAATAATAGTATAAAACCATTTTGAGGAAAAGCTAAGTGTAGACAACATTAAAAATTCTAGAAATTTATATTCCAAACTATTTTAAATATAGAATATCAATATAGAAAAAATTTGAGAAAGACGTAGTGTTAGACAACATTAAAAATTCAAAAAGGTTTGCCAATCTAAGTTGTCTCTAATTTTTTTAACCATTAATATAACTTGTACAACTGATTTTTTTCTAATTAATCAAATGTATTAAATTGAAATGACTTAAGTTTTTCTCACATGTCTTTAGATTTAAGGGCCCTTATAGACTGGTTTTTTTGAGTGTGCTGCTACTTCTTGACAGTTGCCAGCACGGCTGTTGCTAATGGTTTCTTAATGTCACCCGACTCCTCCTCGCAGCCCCTCCTCCCATCCTTCTGGCCATTCCGCAACTGCAGCTAGTGAAATTATTATTATTTAAACTTTATTTTTGCGTTTGTCATGACAGCAATTATCATTTTGGGTGCACCATGCACCCTACTCCTCCTGCTCTGCTGATTACTCTGCATTCTGCGAAAATTGCCAGCGATTTCGGTTCGAGTTTTCCTGCCACACCAACAATTAACTGCGTTATGCTGCTTTAATTGTTTTGTAATTGACCAAGAACGCGAGATTAATGAGGAAATGCAATCTGAGAATATGTCGCGTTCAAGAGTCGTGCCAACCAAAGCAAAACCATCAAAATTGGTTAGCACTCAATGAAAATAAAGACCAATTCGTCGCATTTATCGCATGCAATAAATGACCGTCTCAAGGCGAGCGAAAAACAGAAAAAAACCGAAGCTAAAGCCATATAGTCGATCGTGGTCGATCGGGCGGCGAGTCTCGAGTTGCCGGTTTTGAATCTCACTTGAAAAATTAGTATCTCACTACGAATTCGTTCGTTGACTCGCGCAGTCGCAGTCGCCAGTCGAAAATAAATCGAAAAACTCAAAAACGTGGACGGTCGTCGCGCATGCGCAAACCAAAAAAAAGAAAAGAAGAAGCTGCGAGGAATAAAAAACCCCTACTCATATGTAAGGCCCATCATTTCATCAGTTGTCTGCGGTCTGCCGTCCATCCCAACAAATTACAAAAGTGTGTATATTTGTCCGATTGCTTGTTAAAGTTATAATAATCGTTGACAAAGTGCGCGTAGCTCGTTTGTTTGTTCTTCTGTTGACGTTTTAATTTATGTGCAGTTTTGTTTTTTTCGCTTTTTTCATCACTCAGCTGACTGACAGCTTTGCGATGCCGGTTGAGCGTGAAAAAAAAACAAAAACACCTCAAGAAAATTGCTTTGAGTGAAGTGCAAAAATAACAGAGAAGCAAAGAAAAAATCCCCAAAAATTCCACTCAGATAATTTTTCTAATGATCGTAATTGGATATGCCCCCAAATAATTTCCGCTTACGTCAAAATCAATGATTTTAACTGTGGATAAACAGTTGCCGTAGTTAATGAATTGTTCCAATATTTAACCCATTAAGTGACAGACGGAAAGTGCTTAGCAATGCTAAAAATAATTAGCAAACTGAAGAATGCCTCTACCGGTTCATTAAATGCTCCCAACTCATCGAAACCCATTGATTTTAATTACTGCCTAATGATCGACGCCTACAAATCGGATGTAAGCAAGCTGAGATTTCAATCGAGGCTTAACTCTCTTATCACCGTGAAATAAATAGTCCGCCTTGTAATTATCCGTTAGCTTCACTCTCGGTTAATTGCCGAGCATTTGGCTGTAATTTACTGCTCATAACTATGATTTGTGTTTGGAGGCGCTGCTTTTAATGACAGCCCTCCCAGTGTTTGTAGTACTCCCCAAGTTTTTTCGAAAATACTCGAATTTACCGGTCAGCCAAAGTCCCACACTATTTCGTGTTTGTATTTCAAAACAAGGTAAACTTTTGAGAGAAAAAACCTAATATAACCCCACCCAAAAAAAAAAGAAAAAGCTGCTGGCGAAGCAAACAAAACACATCTATACATCGAATTCGCATTTAGAATTCCACTCAAGAATCGCGCAAGCTGGAGGCATGAATATCTAAATATTAAGTAACTCGCTGACAATTTATAAGTTTTAACTAATATATATGCATAAGGGAAACCAAAACGGGTTTCGGCCGAAACAGAAAGACGGCAATAAATATTTGACAAAGAACATGTCACCATAGCCACAGAAACAAATATAGAATTCAGCAACTCATTCCGAGACGAAAGACCATTCAAATGGGGATTTTTCGGGGCCGTAAAGAATCCAATGCAAACGAACAAAAGTACCGATTGTAAAAAAATGTTAATTTGTCGAGTCATTAGACAAAATGCAACATGACTTACCAAATAATACCAAGAAATATGAAAAGTGAGTGAGAAAAACTGCATGTTAATGTCTATAAAATTATCTGCAAATTAAAGCGTCTAAAGCCAAAGACGCTGGCTGAAAAGCTAAAAGCCGATAGACTGAGAAACTAAAAAACTGAAAGACCGACAGCTGACGGCCTGAATAATTGCGAAACAACCTAAGGGCACTCGAAGCGAGGTCCAAACTCATATGGAACCACCTCAAACAAAAGTCGAGACTCTCACAAAATGGAACTTCGGCGGTGCAGCTTGACGAGAACTAGATACTCTGGTCCAGAAATCTTGTCAAATGAGGCACTAAGCGTAGCGAATGCAAATATTTTAACAACCTGACGTAGAACCTTTGTAACGGCGTGACTACTACACACAGTTTATTTTACAAACAGCATTATTTTTTATAAAAAAATTGAAACTGATAAAATAAAATAAGGGATTGATTCTTGATCTTGGTTTCTGGTAGAAAATACTTAGGATCAAAAGCAATTAAGTATATTTGATAGATTTTTATAAAAATATTTGAAAATGATTTATAACCATATAACATTAAATATTATATGAAGTGATATTTTATAGTAAAACTTTTATTCCTATGCTAATGAATTTTTTTTGCTTTCGCAAATGTTATTAAGGGAAAATAGCTTAAATAATTATATCTGCTAATCTACATTAATTCTTAACCCCTTAAACCTGTTTAACGACTTGCTGTTTTGACCCCATTTCGATTGTTATTAAACTCGAAACCTTTTAAATTCGTTCCTTGAAGCCCTTATCAGATTACAGAGTTGGCTTGGCCATAAAAACCCAAAAAAAATTGTACAAAGTTAGCAAATTGGCCGAGTAAAAATAAAAAACAAAAATCAGACAAGCGCGAACAATTAAAGTGCAAAATCGGCAAATCAACGAGCTCTTTTGCTGACCACTTGACCGACTGATCGCCCAATCGACAGTTCGAGTGCTTGGCCAAGAGTTCGACAGGTTATTTTTTTGGTTGAGTGTTGGAACTGCTATGGAGTTTTTTATTTCTCATTTTTTTGGCGAGCATGTAATGAGGAAATAAAAAAATCGAAAGGTTACGTCGTTGCGGTTTTTTTTTTTTTTTTTTTTTTTTTTTTTTTTTTTTTTTTTTTTTTTTTTGGCGAGCATGTAATGAGGAAATAAAAATCGAAAGTGTTACGCGGGCGTTTCTTTGGGTCTCCCCTTTACCACCTTACCACCTTTTTTCGGCCAGAGTGTGCGACTCTGACCCGAGATTTGGCCAAAAAGTGGGTCGCACCATTTGCAATTAAAGAGGCAATGAAAAGTGAAATAAACCCCGGGCTGAGAAAAACAACGAATACAATTAAGACAAGGGCGGCCAAAGTTAATGCAAGCGGCAAATACGAAATGCACCTTTATACCGCCAGTGCAATGCCAAAGTGAAAAATACGCATTTAATACGAAAATCAGCGCTCACACACGCGAGAAAGAAATTAAACAAAACATGCCGAAATTGAAATGTGGCTGGAAAATAACAAAAGCCCACAGCTGATGAATAATAAACGTGACTCGATTGTTAAGCCATGAAATTAATTTAGCATAAATTGTATGTGTGTTTTGCATAGCAACTAAGAGGGTTGAGGGGTTAAGGAGAACCCTGGGGGGTTCAGGGGAGGAGTGCCAGCAGGTGCCTAGAATTTTATGCAATTTATTTCAGTGTGAAGAAGATAGAATAAATTTAGAAAAAATGTAATCTTTAAAGAACAATTAATAGATCTTAGGAACCCTTGCTATAAAGCTTCCTATAAATTTACAAAGTATGTAAAAAAAGTGTTTAACCGCATTTGTATTTATTTATTTAAAAAATAAAATATTTCACCTACAGTAATCAATCACAGAGAATTGTATGAAATTATTTATCATGTGAGATGCCAACACCTCTGATTTCACCATTAAAATGTTAACAAATTTAAGGCTTGCGCCTAATTGTATTTTTCAAGGGATATTTATTCTGACAAATGAAACATGAGTGATGCAGCAGATTTTTTACTCAAATTGTTCAAATCTGAGCATATTATACTGCAATGTGAATATTCTCTATTGTTTCGTTAGCTGTTGTGCAACACTGAAATTACTGAAATCAAAGTTACAAACACCAGTGGATAACTAATATATTCTAACAAAATCCAAATTTCATTCGGAGTTCTAACTTATTAACACCTTTAATTATATAATAAGTTTACTTATTAGTTAATCACCCAGAATGTCGTCAGAGGTGAATCTTTCACAACTAACCAACACTTATTCTAGTCAAAATCTAACTCAGTTCAAAGTTCGAACACGAGACGAATCCAAGCATGAAGAACTTCATTAGGCGTCGACAACAAATTGCTTTGTTTATTGGGGGCGTGGCAGAGCGGGGGAGGCGGTTTTAGGAGTTTGCAATACATCATTTTGTCAGGTGGAGAGAGATACCTTATCCACATATATATATATTTCGCCCTCGCCGCAAACTTGTTGATTGTGGCAAAGACGGGCCGTGACGAGACAAAAATATAGTGAGAGAAACAAAAATTATGTTCATGTCTGTCGCCGTTTTGTTTTGGTTACGGACTTCGCCATGCTGCCAATTAAAAATAGCCGCTTGCATAATTTCCGCTGGCAGAGACTCAGGTGCAAGAGTTCTCCAGTTGACCCAAAAACTTTAAAGCCCTACTGGCAGGGGGTCAAAAATAAAAAAAGAGAGGGGCTCGACTTAATTCACTTCCTGAAGCTAATAAAATGCGACAAATGCGTGCGAGCTGGAGTTTAAGTTGAAAATCGTAATGGAAATGGAGAAGTGAAAGTGCAGCCCGCAATTGGCAATTTTTCATTTGAGAGGCAAGCTCGAAGTTTGAGCCAAAATTGATTCGAAATTGTATCATTTATATCCATAAAAGTCACATTATGTTACATATTGAAATAACAATTGCGGTTAACTAATAGGAGTGCTATTACAATTTGCGGTTGATCTTTCATATTTGGAGTATTTTATATTTCGGTAATCTAGTGTGGAAAATGTTAGTAACAGATGGAGTCTAACCTAGTAAAAAAAGTGGTTCTAGTTAAACTAAAATTTTAAATAGAAAACAATGTAATAGTTATAAATACTTTAGACATGTACATATGTATGTATGTACACCTTTTATAATTAGGCAAAACCCAAACATTTTAAAAGTTAAAATTCTTTATCTGGAATTAACGCTGTTTGCCAACTCTCTAAAGTTCTTAATTGAGTGATAATTAAATGAAATAACAAGAGATACGGAAATATTTTGTGCTTGCTTTTACGATTCTAACTTTCAGCCAGGAGCAGAAGTAATGTGAAGATGACCCCAAACTGACCGTAAGATGATCGAGGCCTTTGCGAATCACCTGAGCAGCCACCTGGGACGCCACCTCTTCTACTGGGCCATCGAATCGAGCAGCGCCACTCCGGGAAACTACGGCCTCAACCTGCGGATCTCCGAGCTGATCAACAAGTTCCACGGCCCCTCGAAAGGGGAGTGCAGGTGCTGGACCACCTGCTGACCCTCGAGGAGGACGACTTCGCCGGCCACTGGGGCAGCGCCTACGCGCACAACTATGAGCCGGAGTACGCCGCTCGAGTGCCGGAGAACGAGGAGCTGCCACCGCCAGAACACAGTGAGTTATAGATTATTATGAACTTGTATACAATATATATTAACGGAATCAGCAAATGGTATACTGCTAACAAAGGTTAAGTTCCTTAAATATACATTATTATAATAGAAATTAAGTATTTAATGCCTTTTTTGAGGGTTATTTAAACGATTGACCCAAATATTTCATTCAAGATCGCTAATATTTATCTTATCAAGAGCCCAACTTAGTTCCAATACACCAGAAAGAGATTTAACTGGGTATGACTCAAAGATTAGCTTAAGCAAAGGTCAACAACATGTTTTAAATTTTTCGGCACACATCTTCGATCTGCTGCCGGCTGATGCTTCTGTTCGAGGTGCTGCTGCAGAAACAGGTTTTACTGTACACGAATGTGCTAAGAGATAAACAAACCTTGACAAGTAAGCTCGCTGGCCAGGCAAACACATCAAAATCGATTTCAAGTTCAGCGATATGTTTCTTCATAAAAAATATTCGCGGGCCAGGCAATAAATAATAGACCAAACACGATTCGGACATGCAAATACCAGGTAAAGTCACCAGCAAGGCTGATCGAAAAAAGACAGACATGTAAAAAGAGGTATGATATAGGGTAATTTACCGACAAAAAAAAATTAATTACAGCCGAAAAATCATGCCTGAAATTAGTTTGGTATATAAAGTTAATTTCGTTGAAAAATACAGACACTATTGTAATTTTCCGCAGAAAAAAATCATTAGATTCAAGATCATGTTTTTGACTGTGTAAAATAAACCTCTTGAATCGGCCCTATTAGCTCCCACACGTACGCCTTTTTATGGCGCGCCATGACGGAAATACATATTAGTATCGAGTGGCCGTGATATAATCAAAATGGGTTGCGAAATCCACAGTTGACGTATTTCAGCTAATTTAAATTCAAAACAGGCGCCTAAGAACGGCACTAACCAACACTTGTTTAAATTCGTTTGCCAGAACTGGCAAGCACAGCGATTTTAAGTCCACAGTCTGGCAACGCTGGCTGTCAATCGTTACAGCTGTTCCAAATACAACCCTACCAAACAAAGCTTTCCAGCCCTGGAAAAATATATATTCTATTCTTGGGGAAAAATAAAAAATCAAAATATCGCTGTAAAAATGTCATACGATTGACTTAAGTGAAGGCAAATGTTTGAACAGCGAGCACTCGAGTGAAGTCTGACTGATTTTCTGGCTTTTCTAACTTTGGAGCGCTTCAAATCGCACTTTTCCCCCGCGATGGCCAGCAGCAGTAGTAACAATTCCTCGGCCAACAATCACGGAGGCCACAATCCGCTCAACCGATTGTCCCTGAAATCCGCCGGAAAGCGAAATCAGGAGAGCATGTCCCATTCGCAGCCGAATGGCGGATGGATAAATGGTAAGGCGGAAAACCTAGGGGAACCGAAATTCAAGGGAAAAACAAGGAAAAACATGGGTGGAGGAGGAGGAGGGGTAGGGGCAGACAGGTGCCCTGTGTCTGTGAGTTATTGATTTTTCACACAACTCAAACAGTGTCACCGGTGGGCGGGGGGCGGTGCAGGGGCCTAACGAAGAGGGGCGCTGTCTGGCAACACAAACAACAACAACAACTGTCAACTGCGTTGCTATTTTGAGACGCTCCACTTTTAGAGTACAGCAGAACCTGCCTGAACTAGAACTTCTAAGTTAAAAAAGCATCTATAAATGTAAAACAAAGAACAATTATGGATAGTTTTCAATATCGATTAAAGATTTTTAATTTAAAATATATTCTATATTCTTCAAGCTTCAAGATTTTCATATTAAATGTATATTGCTAACATTGTAATAAAAAACATTTTTAAAATGATTCCTAACTCAGAATCTCATTGCTTAAAAGTTAAAAATAATATGTTTTATATAATTCAAACCATTTAATGAGCTATAGTATAGTATACCTTAAAGCTCGACTCCCACAAATACATATATCATTAAAAAAAGTGATCCATACAATGATGATAAAATTTATTTATGTATAGTATTCCATTAGTATTCATTAAAATAACTAGTTCAATAATATTTCTATAAGGGGAATCAATTTTTATTTTATCTTTTAAAAACTAAATTTCCCCAGGTGCAAACTTTCTCGCTTTACGCAAGCCTCACTGTATTTGGGGTGTAATAATTGTGGAAAAAAGGGGAGACCCTGGCATTTGTTATTTACGATGCACACGCAGCGGAAGTTGCACAAATGTGGCCACGCGTGCTGCTGGTTTTAAGCGAGCTGGGTGGGATTATCAACTCAGACACAACTCGGGTAACCCATATTTTAACCCGTTTATCCAATCTCTTCCACAGTGGAAACCCTCAACAATGGCAACGGGCTGCTCCACTCGCCGCCCCACAATCACCAGCAACAGCAGCAGCAACAACAGCGAGGCGGAGGAGGAGCATCGCCAGCCGGAGGCGGAGGAGGTGCCTCAGCCGGAGCGGATCACAATATCCAGATAACGCAGCCCATCAGCGCCCCATCCTCGCCGTTGGCCTCGCCGGGCGCCCTGAACAGCAGCAGCAGCAGTAGTGGAGGCGGCGCAGGTAGTGGCGGAGGCATCTCCGGCAGTCCCACTGCCTTCTGTCTGCCCTCCAGTTCCGCTGCGGCGGCTGTGGCGGCCATCTCGGCCACGCCAACCAGCGGCAGTGGATCGTATGTGTGCTCCGCCGGGACCAACTGGCATTTCGCAGCCGTGGCGGCTTCCAACGCCATCGATACGGCGGATCCCAACTGGCAGGCCAGCAAGGCGACGGTTCTCGAGAGGAATGCAGCCATGTTCAACAACGAACTGATGTCCGATGTCAAGTTCATTGTGGGCGGAGAGTTCGGTAAGTGTAGTCTGTATCACAATAATGAAAAATATCTAATCTGTAGAACTATCTGACAGACATCGACCCCATTCAAACCATTCCCGCCCACAAATACATTCTCGCCACGGGCAGTTCCGTATTCTATGCCATGTTCTACGGCGGACTGGCGGAGAACAAGCAGGAAATCAAAGTGCCTGATGTGGAACCCACTGCCTTTCTAACGTTGCTAAGGTGCGATATTAAAATCTTAATTTAACACCAAACAAACTTATAAGTATTTGTTCATATCTAGGTACCTTTATTGTGATGAAATCAAACTGGAACCTGAACACATCCTGGCCACCCTGTATGCTGCCAAGAAGTACATCGTTCCGCATTTGGCCAGGGCCTGCGTCAACTACCTGGAGGTGAAGTTGACGGCAAAAAACGCCTGCCTACTTCTCAGTCAATCGCGTCTGTTCGAGGAGCCCGAGCTGATGCAACGTTGCTGGGAAGTGATCGACGCACAGGCCGAGATGGCGGTTAAGTCCGAGGACTTTGTGGACATTGACCTCAAGACCTTCGAGTCGATCCTTTCGCGGGAGACGCTCAACTGCAAGGAGATCCATCTGTTCGAGGCGGCTCTTAACTGGGCCTTGAACGCCTGCGAGAAGATGAGCATCGATGATACTCCTCAAAACAAGCGCAGGCTGCTGGGACAGGCTTTGCACCTCATCCGCATTCCCACAATGTCGCTCGAGGAGTTCGCCAACGGCGTGGCCCAGACAGGCATTCTCTCGTCACAGGAGACAATCGACATGTTTCTGCATTTCACCGCCAAGATGAAGCCGTCGCTGGGATTTCCCACACGCTCCAGGGCGGGATTGAAGACCCAGGTCTGCCATCGCTTCCAGTCGTGCGCCTATCGTTCGAACCAGTGGCGCTACCGCGGACGCTGTGATTCAATTCAGTTCTCAGTGGATCGAAGGTAAGACTAGACGCTCAATTGAAAGATTTAGGTAATCAAAAGACTTTCTATTATAGAATCTTCATTGTGGGCTTTGGACTTTATGGCTCGTCGACTGGCGCTGCCAACTACAATGTTAAGATTGAACTAAAGCGCCTGGGTCGCACGCTTGCCGAGAATGACACCAAGTTCTTCTCGGACGGATCGAGCAACACGTTCCACGTGTTCTTCGAAAATCCCATTCAGATCGAGCCCGAGTGCTATTACACCGCCTCCGTGATCCTCGACGGCAATGAACTCAGTTTCTTCGGCCAAGAGGGCATGTCGGAGGTGCTCATGGGCAATGTGACATTCCAGTTCCAGTGCTCGTCGGAGAGCACCAACGGCACTGGAGTGCAGGGTGGTCAGATCCCAGAGCTGATCTTCTACGGACCCACCACCGTAACTGCAATGAGTTCGCCCACAAACTCGGTGTGTGCCACGCCCATTGGTGGTGGAGGAGCCACCTCAACCACAGCAGCAGGCGGGACAGCTACTTCAAATGGCAGCAATGGATCTGGCAATAACGCCAACGGTTCTGGGGAGGATCTGGCCGGCGATGGAAGCACCTGATGCGCACAGCTCTACTGCGCCGAGTGGCAGGGAGCCTGCTACTACCGCCAACAGCAGCAGCAGCAACAACAGAAGAGACCAACACAACAATACAAAACACAGCAACCACAACAGCTACAGATACAAAATCGAAACTCATGGGTTCTCAGTGCAACACAACAAAGCAAATTGGAGTTTTAGGCGCATATATACACATATATATATATATATACCAAGATAGTAGAGTGCTCTAGTTTTCGTAATAGTCACATATATATACACCTCGGCAGTGCGTTTTAAAGCTTTAAGACGGTTGTCAGAACAAGATCATCTCAACTAGAAAGTCACGCGATGCAAGTCATTCGATATAAGGATTTTTCGGTAATTGAAAAGATTTCCTTCGTTATCCCAAGTATGTTAAGCAAGTTAATTTCGACGGTTTTGCAGTTCTAAAACGCACTGTACATAGTTGTTGGTAATGCATATAAAAATATTTTCGAAATCGAAACAAGTTGAACATATACACCCAGAACTATATAGATACAGATTAATAGATGACTCGAAAACTTAATACGTTCCACGATTTGAGAGGGCGGGGTGGGGTAAAAAGGGCGCTATATAGAGACGCATACGTAAATGCAATAAGTGAAAATCGGGCAATCAGTCAAGCTAGCGTTAACCAATATTCTAAAGAGAGTTAAAGGGACAGTGGAAACAAACTAATACGATATATACCAAACATATTTTTGCCAGCATATACCCAACATATATACATACATCTGATCTGATAATGATATATACACGCATATAGATAAACTATAGACCTATACACTCGAAGGGATAATAAGCCATGTTAGGAAGTGCATACGACGAATTTGAAAGCCAAGTTAACCAGTTTACGAAATAGGAAAGAACAAAGAAATCAAAGGATCTTGTACGAGTATGCGCACAAAATCTCTTAATATATATATTCGAATATTAATCTTGTAGTATGCATTATCTCTATTTCGTAGTTGTTCCATTATAGCTCTCATAAATACACATATGCCTTTCTACTGATATTAAGCCCCGTTCTTTGCTCCTGAGCATTATTATCATAGGCTGCTCTGCGCAACAATCAGTTTTACGTTCGACTTTTGAATTTCTTTGGAAATTGTACTGATTTTTTGCTTTTGATAAGACAATTACCGTTTTTTTATATATATATAACTATATAAATGAAAATGTTATCCTATACTGATTATGAATCTATTACAATTATGTACTTTAATCGAACAAAATACATTATTAGATTTTTGCGAATTTACGTTTTGGGAGTTTGGAATTTTTGGAACATAAGCTTTTGAATTGTTAAAATGGTAAGTATGGAAAAGAACTGGGAACAGCTTGTTCAAATTTATAAAATAAAACATTAGTTTCCCTACACTATTGTTAAAATCACTTTTGATAAATCTTCATAGCTTTTTTGGGATAGTTCCATATGAGTGAGGTAATTAAATATTCAAGGCGTGCACTCACCCACAGACGGTATGTTGATACAAAGGGCGTGTGATAGCTTCAAGTAGGTGCGTCCCAGCTCATAGGAGCAGATCTGCTGAACGTCGCTAATGTCGATGAGAAGATCTGGAGGAGAATAAACGAGGTTTAAGCTAGTAAATAGGCAAAACCAATGCATAACTTACGGGAGGTGCCCTCTGTCCTGCAGGTCATGTAAACGCAGGCGGCGTAGATGTGGGTGCTCTTCCTGCCGCGGGTCAGGTGCCGGCTTAGGGCCATCTTGAAGAAATTCAGAGCAGTATCCGCATAGTGCTGGGATAGTTGCAGCTGCTGGCAGAGGAGGGTGATGTCCTTCTTGGCCTTCTTGATGGTCACCTCGCGGGACTCAGTGCCCGATCCCACCTGGAACTTGCCGTAGCCGTAGTTGGTGGCCCCGCCCGAAGACTCGGCGGACACAAACTGGCCAATTGCGGCTGCTCCATGGCCAACTTCCTCGAACTGGACTTCCGAAACAATGAGCGAGTCCTCCAGCACAGAACCGCAATTCATGCAAACTATAGTAGATGACATTTGATAAATAGCAAGGACATGACTATAAATCCACAGCCTACCCCGATCTCCTCGAGCATTATCCTCCTCGATCTCGTTGGATCCGCAATTGCGACATTTTAGGCCCGTCGACATGATTGTTGGGTTCTCCTTGTTTTATCTGGGTTATCTTTAGGTTAACACTATCAGCCGATGGGTCTTCTTTTGATCTATTGATTTAACAATTTTAACCACTTGTTGGCTGTCAATTCAGAGCATTTATGCCATTTTGTATAAACAATTTGCAATTTGTTGCCAATTGAAATCAACACGCTTGAAGAAACAGCTGTCCCGCCAGCGTTTTACAACACTGTTTTTTAAACGAAATTAGCTAGAGATGAGCAGCTCTCACTCACGAAGGTTTAATGAAGGTAATTATTACTTAAATAAATTAAATGAAAATATGGAAAAAAACAATTTTATTTTTTGTTAATTGAAATAATAATTAATGGGATACACTGTTTTTAAATGCACATCTCTAGCTTTTAAGGTGACGCAATACAAAATGTTTTTAATATATTTTTGCGACTTTTATGTGTGGCAAAACAGCGTACAGTAAAATAAACCCTTTTAATTAAGATGTAGTAATATTATAATGTATGTTTAGTACTTCTCCATAGTGTTTCCAAAGTTTATCAATACTTTATACAAAGCGAAAACTTCTGACGTCACACGATACCCAAGCACGAAACCACCCCGCATTATTCAACACCCTGCGCTGGCGAAATAAACAAGTCAAGTCGGCACAGAATTTTCCATAAATCATCTTTGAAATAGAAATACCGGTTGACTCCGACATGGGCGATGCCGACAGAGCGATGAACGAACCGGAAGCGGCCAAATCAGTAGCCGGAATCCAGGTGATTCCCGCCGAGGATGTGGCCTCCATCGAGGAGGTAATCACCATCGATCCGGAGTGCCTTGAGCTGGATCTGAATCATCGCCGCATCGAGAAGCTGGAGAACTTCGAGCCCCTCACGCGGATCGAACGCCTGTTCCTGCGATGGAATCTGATCAAGAAGATCGAGAACCTGTCCACCCTGAAGACACTGATTGAGCTGGAGCTGTACGACAATCAGATCACCAAGATCGAGAATCTGGATGATTTGACCAACTTGGAGGTGCTGGACATCAGCTTCAATCGTCTCACCAAGATAGAGAACCTGGACAAGTTGGTGAAGCTGGAGAAGGTATACTTTGTGTCAAATCGGATCACCCAGATCGAGAACCTGGAGATGCTCACCAATCTCACAATGCTGGAGCTGGGCGACAACAAGCTGAAGAAGATCGAGAACATCGAAATGCTGGTGAACCTGCGACAGCTCTTCCTCGGCAAAAACAAGATAGCCAAGATCGAGAACCTGGACACACTGGTCAATTTGGAAATCCTCAGTCTGCAGGCCAATCGTATCATAAAAATCGAAAATCTAGAGAAGTTGAAAAACCTCCGGGAACTCTACATATCAGAAAACGGGGTGCAAACCATTGAAAACCTCGAAGAGAACAAGAATTTGGAGACCCTCGACCTGGCCAAGAACCGATTGAAGGCCATTGCTAATCTGGAAAAGCTGGAACTTCTCGAGGAGCTCTGGCTGAATCACAACGGGGTGGACGACTGGAAGAACATCGAGTTGCTTAAGGTGAACAAGGCGCTGCAGACCATCTACCTGGAGTACAACCCGCTGGCCAAGGACGTCCGCTACCGCTCAAAGCTGCGCGACATCCTGCCGCAGCTAGAGAAGATCGACGCCACCCTGTGCAAGATGCCCGGGACCTAGATGGATCCTTTGTAACCCTCGAAAGACTAATCTACGGCGTTGCGCCAATACATTTATATTGATTAACTTTGGAGATATGCGTTTAAAATATACACGAAAATTAACCCACTTCAAAGAGAAGTTCTAGATATCATCCTTGTAGATATTCTTGCATCCAGAGTGTCTGTAACTAGAATTGACGGAAATAAATCACTCTAAAGTGATGTTTATCTAGTGAATCAGGTAAATTATCCTCCAAGTTTTATCAGTACTCCTTACCTTTTTCCTGTAATGTTTTTTTCTTATTTCCAATTAAAATAAGTAAGAATAAAAGTATTCTGTTTGGTTTTTTTATACAGAACAATTTGTCATTTATTAGAAAAAATACATTATAAGTTATAATTTATAACATATAAGAGTGTATTTAACAAAATACGAGACTTGTATTTGTATTGCTATTGTTCTATTGAGTGAAATCACAGAGCTTATTTGATAAGTAAACTTTATAATTGTCTTTTGCCAGCTCCATTTCTTGTTGTGCACTTCGTTGAGCATATAAGCTTATCATTTTGTATTATTTTTTGTTTTTTGTTGATCGCTTTGCAAACAAAGAGTGTGAGGCATCAAGTGTTTACTTCTGGAGGAGAACTTCATTTTGAAACAGCGTAATAGTCTGAAGCCTTGACATTATGGGGACCTCCGTAAAAGTCCAGCACAAAGATATTACTAATTTCCAGTTCACAAAGGTAGAAATTGTGGGCTGTGGAAAAATGAATATTAGCAAGTTTGCGAAACTATACACACGTACTTCACGACAATCTATATTAGACTTGGACAGTTTCAAACTAACCTTTAATCCAATTATCAGCAGCTGGATGACGTCTAACAAAAGCATCCTTTGCGGGCTGATAGCTTTGGTCACTGGGATCCAACTGAAGATTGGTGTAGAATAGTGTTTACAAAGGAAATATGATACGATTAAATTTATACATACTTTTTGGACCTGGCCGCTGATCATGGAGCGGGCACATGTAGGCTCCATGGGATCCTTGCCGCCATCCTTGCACCTAAGGGTCTGCTCATCACTGAACAGCAAGGTCACCTTGTTGTCCTTTTGCCAGTCGGGTCCAGTAAAATCCAGATCGGTCAGCAGAAAGCGAATCCTTCCAGTGGAGTTACCATTGGCATCGCTGTCATCTATGGATATAATGTTGACCATGGGATATCCTTCTACTAGTTTATTGGTGGAAAGACTTCCCAAGGCCGCCCAGTTAGCTCGATGGACCAAATCCCTGGCGATTTTGGCATGATTTAAACCCTGCTCTCGTTTGAATTCTCTAATGGCAAGGGCATCTTCTCGCGGGGAATATCCAAAACTGGGATTTGGGAACACAAAGGCCAATATCAAGGCGATCAATATTGAAGGGCAGGGTTGCATGGCTGGACTGCAAGTATAACGAAAGATCACTGATCACTGAAAGATCGGAATCGGGGTATTTATGGGCACGAAACTTGCACTGGCCTTATCGTTCAACGAAATCTTTGTCAGTGTAATCTCGGACGATCCTCACTTTTAATACTTTCCGTGAATCACGTATGCATGCAAAAAACAAAGCGGACTAATGGATAGCATTGACCCTTTCCGCCTTTCTCCGTCTTCCATTTTACGCCGTATTCTGCACCCACTTCCTATATATACTTGACTAGCCTACCTAGGATCTAGAGTACTGCTCCGCGTATCGGTACTTCTGCTTTGAGATTTGTTTGTAAACTGACTAGGCAACTATTGCACTCTTATTATCAGCTGTTTCGAGTACAAAGAACCAGATACTAAGGTTTGAGCAGGTACCCCGCATATGGTTAGGGTGTATATGACACATGAAAAGCCAGCTGTTTCCGGTTTCTTAACTCTGAAATACTTCTTAACAGCTGGAAAGATTTAAATCTTAAAACTGGATATAAACCGCACTTAAAAATCCGACTAAATTTGGAACAACCTTTACTTTCGATTGCAAAGGAATATGTAATTCAAAGAAAGAAATGCTAAAAGTAAAGTTTAAGTAATTAAAGTAATATTGTTTAATCACTCTCCGGAGTAATAATTTTAAACCGTATTAAGAGAACCCGGAAAACTAGTTTTCCATTTTTTGAAATGGTGAGACCCAGGGTACCAAATGAATGATCATCCAACAGTATACGCAGCATTGCCAGTTCAAAATAAACCCGACTGCTAAGAAACTAAAGCTGGATCCAGAACAGACTGTTTAAAGTATTTTAACATTTTCTTTCATTTTATTCGCAAATATGTAGGTATGCTTAAATATGTTTTCTTTTTCTTTAGGAGTATCATTATATTTTGACTTGTTCTTGTTTACCATATAACTTGTACATTTCACTTTCATTTAACTTGACCTCATTTAACATTTATTGTTTCTATTTGCAATTGGCTCGAAATTTCGCCAACTTCTGGTTCTGAATATCCACCGTGTTCTTGTGTTTTCGTTATTCTAGTGTGCGGTTATTAGTTTAACATTTATTTGTATTTCTGTTACATTTACGTTTTTATTTTTGTACCGTTGGAAATATACTTTTGTTTTCATATTATTAGACATTTTTTGTTGTAATTAAATTACGTTTGCCAGATTAGTTTACCCTGCCGCATACAGTTTGTTTGAAAAATATATGTACATATCTCATGGAGTTCTCAAATAAATATGTACGCATAGATCTCGAGTGTTTTCTCAAAAAATAGAAGTGTAAAAGTTGATCGTACGTGTATAGTGTAAATATGTATGTATGTATGTAAAAGATTTAAAGTTAGCTTCGTTGATTTATTGATTTTGTTAAAGATTTGTTTAAAATTTAAAGCCCATTTGCGTTGCATTGCAGCGGAGAGTAGCTCAAAACTGTATCATCCTTCTTTGTTTGCGTTTCAAGACATTTAGCTTACGATATAAAAATAAATAAATCGATTTTTGTAACTTTTTTTTGAGCTGATTCAATGGAGTAGTACCATAATGGCAGATCGGAGCTTAAAGTTGTTGAACAAAAGTGTTTTGACAGTAGAAACTTGGTAAGGATTGGATATTTTAATGAAAATTTATAAAAATAATTTAAACCTTCATTGAAAGTTGGAAAATAGGGTTTTCATTAATATTTTTAAATTGAATTTTGTCAAAACACTTTTCTCCAATCTTCTATATTGTATTATCCAACTTCGCTAGAAGAACAGCAACTCTGAGTCCATGTTATCTCTAGATATCTTTTACGCTTATCAGTTATGTGGCATTATACAATATTTATTTACGTTTAACTCTTTTTACTTGCCATACAAATATCGTTGATTATGGTTATGATAACTAAATGCATTTAAATCATCTATAATATTCATACAAATCAATTACAGACACACCAACATTAAAATGATGAAGTATACAACATTATCTTTCGCTAATTTAATGCCAACGTGCAAATGGCTGTAGTGGTTATTTTATGCTTAGACTAATATACAAAATGCTGCTTTAGCTACTCCCAGACAGGCCGATCTCCATAGTCCGCAGACATACGTTTAGCACCGTATACAAGCGAAATATGTAGGCATGCCTGGAGGAGCCACAGAAAAAAACATTGCAATTTTCTCATTTCAACAAATTACACACAGTTTAATACTTGTTGCTTAGATTTTTTTGCGCTTGCTTATACAAAATACAACTACGATTTATGTGTATACAGATTAATAATTTCTTAAACATTTTTGTTTAGTTTTAATTTTTTTTTCAAACAATTCCTTGGCGCTTGCGTATTTTATGTGTAGTTTTGAACGTTAGATTTTGCTTTCTCGATGACCAAAAATCGAACAAAAGGTTTAAAGCTTTCAATTCACTTTCGTTTCGTTTCGCGTGTTACATTTTTGACTAGCTTGGAAGCATGAGTTAAATTAGAACCTAAAGAGTGGACTCTGAACTGGACTTGAACACAGAATGAAAAGCAAATCGGGGCAGTTTAAAATACGCGGGACATTGGTATAACGTGTTAAAGCTATCGTTTTGTCAGCCAACGCACTCCAGTCGGGATAAGGGATCAAACCACAGTAGAACGTTAAAACTTCCGCATCGGTTTCAGAAATTATTCAGGGATCAGTTATACATTTATGTGGGCTTTGTCAAATAACTTAATATACTTGTAAGTAAAATAATAGAACCTTTATCAAGCACATCCCACGTTTACAAAACCGCTCTTGAATAAGTCGACAGGAAAACACCTATCTATCGTGGTTTTATCCCCCAATAATTGGGATTAGGGATGGGGACAGGATCTCGCCCGTTAGCTGAGATCGCACCGTTAGCGACGGTCGCTGCTTCTGGATGTTGATCCGCCTGCCGCTGCCGCTCCTCCACCTGCACCACCACCATTTCCACCTCCACCGGGCGCCTGGTTCACCGTCTGCAGCTCATACTGGTAGTAGCAGTCGCTGCCCACGTAGACGGTGCGCCAAACGCCGTCCACATCTCACATCTGGCGGTACGGGGAGTGCATTTTAAGCCACTGCAATACCAGCGACGGGCCGCCCGCCTGGATTTCCGGGGGAATCGTGCTCAGCGGGCACTTGTCAATGTTCAGATACTTGAGGTTTTGGCACAAGGCCAGCTCAAACGGCAGCTTCTCCAAACCGGGATTCTGGTTGATGTACAGATTCTCCAGGCTCTCCAGCGAACCAATCTCCTCGGGCAGGAACTGCAGGTTATTCTCGCTTACAGACAGGTGAGTCAGGTTGCCCAGGTGGCCGATACTGCGCGGCAGCATGGTGATCTGGTTGGTCTGCAGGATCAATCTCTGCAGCTCGTGCAGCAGTCCAATCTCGTGGGGCAGCACCTCGATGCGATTCTCTTCCAGGTCGAGTATCCTCAACCTTCGGAGATTGCCAATCGTATTTGGTATCTTCTTGAGCATATTGTTGGACAGGATAAGTATCTCGAGGTTCTGCAGGTTCATGATATCGTCGGGTAGCTTCTGTAACGCATTTGTAGCCAGATTCAGCTCCACCATGTTTACCCAAGTGCCGATATCCAATGGCAGAGCCGTAAGCATATTCTCCTTCATATTTAGCTTGGTGAGGCCCTTGGCCCTCGAGAAAATGCCATACGGGATCTTATCAATACGGTTGTGCTCCAGGTTGATGCTATAGACATTGGTGAACTGCGCTGGACCGCCTGTGGGATAGCTGGTAAACTGATTCCTCGACAGAGTGATGGTAGTAAGACCGCTCAAGCTGGCCAGCATTCCATCTGGAAGCTGGGTTATGCCATTACCCTCCACATTGAACTCATCCATGCTCTTGCAGTTCTTCAAAGTGGCCGGCACGCTACTCAATCGATTGTACCTCATTCCCAAACGCACCAGGGACTTGAGATTACCAATGCTATCGGGTATGTCCAGCAGTTCGTTGTGCTGCAGGTCCAGGGCGCTGAGGTTTACACAGTTGCCAATGTCATCGGGCAGGTGCTCCAGGTGATTGTGCGACACGTCCAGCGTGGTGAGGTTCACCAGCGCGCCAATAGCGCTGCCCAACTCCCTGATCTTGTTCTCCCGCAGACTCAACATGGTCAGGTTGACCAGCCGGCGGAGATCGTCCGCCACGGTGGTGATTCGATTGAAGCGCAGGTAAAGTGTGGTTAAGCTGCGCAGCCGGTAGATCACTGGCGGGATCTCCGCCAGCTTGTTGTGCCGCAGATCCAGCACCTTCAACTGGCTGCAGTTCTGCAGAGACTCCGGCAGTGAGGTCAGCGAGTTCTCGTTCAGCGCCAGGTTCCGCAGGCTCACCAGACAGCCGATCTCCGGCGGAAGCTGTCCGATCTTGTTGCTGTACAGGTAAAGTTCCGTCAGGTGCACGCACTCCTTCACCGTGCTGGGAATCACCGTGATTGAGGATTTACTCAGGTCCAAGCGCTTGATGCCTGCGGGGGAGCATATGAAAACATTAAAGGTATCGTATTACAAACGATTAAAAAAATTATATTCTTCATTCTAAAATTCATTTCAAATTGAATTGAATTGGTTATTGAAATATTTATAAATAGGAAGTAAATTAATTAACTAAAGCAAAACTTAATCGTGAAAAACAATATATGTATATCGACGTATTAATTATTAAAAAAACCTGATTGACCCGTGCTTCTTAAAAAATAAAGTGCATTTTTCTTTTTAATTGGAGGTTGCTGATAAGCGTTATAACATTGATGTGTCATGTTTATTAATTCACTTAGTAATAAGAATCGAAAAACACTTGCCTTCATCGCGACATCGCTGCAGGGCCTTGATGACATCCTGGTCCGCCTGGATGGGCTTGCTCTTCTTGGTGGTGGGCTTGGGCTTATTCGACTCCGGATGCTTCACGGTCACCATTTTGGGACGCGTTTCGGGCGGCATGATTGCGTTGTTTTCGTTGTTTAGCTGGCTATGGCCGTTGCTGCCAGTCGGCTGATGACCACCGCCGGTGGATGCACTAGCTCCGGCTGCCCCGTTGGCCGGACTGTTGGCGTTGGACAGCTCCTCCGTACCGGAGATGGCACCTGCTGTGCCCGATCCGCCGGCAAAGCAGAGTATTGGGGCCTCGGAGGATCCCTCAATGGACTTGCCGCCGCCGCCGCCGTTCCCGCTGCCTCCGCCTCCTCCTCCGCCGCCTTCTGCTCCTCCGCCCGGAACTCCGCCGCTCCTCTCCGCCTGCCCTGTGGACGATAAAGATGTGGTCGATGCCGTTGCGCCCGAAGAACACAAGTTCATAATTTTGCCCAGCTTTGCGGTCGGCGGCGACAATGCGTTGCCCAGAAGTGTGCCCAAGCAACAGCAGCAGCAGCCGCAGCCGGAGGAACTCGTTGCTTAAACCTTGAATAACAATAAAAAATCTGATCAATAAAGTATCCAAAAAGTAATCTTTGTATTTTATTTTTTCCTGTGTGCAATCGCAGAACAAGAAAAGGCCTGGATAAAATACACCCGCACTCGTTTATGGCTGCACTTTATCAATTGTGCGTCAGCCGGTTGGCAATCGCATCGTGCGTCATCGTCATGGTGGTACCACCCACCCATCCTCCAGCCCCAATCCCCAATCCCCAGACCAAACCCGAACCCCATCTCCACCCACTTCACCTCCAGCCGGGCTTTATTACTTTTGCTTTTGTTTGTCAGTCGCCGTCGCTCCTTATTAACCAGTTGACCATAAAGTTTTCAGAAACCCTACACGCAAATCAATAATTAAGCATTCCAACAGTGACGTCAAAATAAGGCAATCAAGAATGTTATCGCTGATGTTTCTGACTATGAAATACCCAGTATTTCAATGAGATCATAACTATATAGGATACGATTAAAAAAACCATAAAAACATTTATAAATTTTATATTATAAATGGTTTTATCTTATGAAGATTTCTTACAACACTTCTAAACGAAAAATAATTTATGCTTTCCTTAGGTTAAGTTATTATGAGATAGTAGCTATTTCAGAGAGTGTTTATTTAAATATTAGAAAAAAAGTACGCATGTATAGATAAGATAAGATAAAAATCTCTTGCTCTGCGGTCATTAATTAAATTAAATTTCACTTTTTTTCTGTGAAGACTCGTACTCTTAAGCTTCTGTGATACTTTAAAAGTTGTCAATGCCGCGGGCCACGTGCAGGAATCGCATCCCCCGTTCCGCCACCCACGCAGCAACCTTGCCGCCCCCTTTACACCCACCACCCACTGCTCACACACCCACAACGTCACACACGGAATGCTCCTGGTATTTTAACGGCAAATGTCAAGGTCAGTAAGAGCGGGTGTCAGGCGATTCCTGGAAAAGGCAGAGCCAATGCCAAAGTCAAAGGTTGAAAGTGCACCGTTACGATACCATATACCAAGTACCGTGTACCATACCCCTAGAATACCGGACGCAGCGTAACCCGAACTGGATTGTTATTCAAAGCGAAAATTGGGAGACACGCTTCTCGGATTTCAGAGATTTAGCATATGCGAACAATGCACATTGAGGGCAATTTTGAATGGTCGTTCAAGTGGAAGATACACCGAAAAAATCCTGATTTTGATGCTTAATAATATGTACTTTAGGTATTAAAAGTAAGAATGAAATGTTGTATATTATTCCATATTCTTATTCATCATATTATTATTTTTGAATATGATATCAGTACACATCATACAAACACCAAGCAAATTTTAGTGCTTAGCTCTTTATAATAAAGTAAATATTCTAAGACATGACATATTTGTGGGTAAATACCTAGAGCAAAGATATAGTTCTCAGTGTGTCGGGGATTTGATTCGACTGATCTGCTAATGCTGGGGAATTGTACGCAGCTTACGATAAAGACCCCGTAATGATAGATATAGACCCCGAGAACTGACAGTCTGATTCATGGTAAATTTCCATTTCTTTGATTGCCATTGCACTGGGGCTCTATTGTTGTTATTGTTCTTTTTTTCGCCTTGTTTGTGGGCGGGGAACCAAACATAAATCGGCACAGAAACACATACATACTATATGAGCACTCGAAGACACACACAGGCACAGGAGCAATCGCAATGATAACACCAATTATGAGGAATTCAACTTACTACTTTCACTTAGAATGCCATTAAAACTGATTCTATGTCTTGCTGATTTCTTCCGATCTCAAGACCACTGCACGCATCGTTCTAACAATAATAATATTGTTATTTTATTATTCAATTTGCACCAGTGTGACCGCGGAACTAGGGACAAACTAAACCATCCGGTCTTAAGAGTTCTTATACAAATATACCAGAAATATACCAAACGGTAATACTAAAATGTAGAGGAGGGTGTATCAGCTGCAAGGTGCGTGTCTCCGCTAACTGCTACTGTTAACTCTACACTGCTACAAAATCTATCTTTGTCGAGCTCTTAAAAATATTTTATTTTACCAAAAGACATTTATTTAATATATATTTAATTTATATATATATAACACGGTAAAAGCAATACCATTGATTTAAAAAATTGCACATATATTTATTAAGTTTAACACGGAAGCTTTGTTCTAAAGCTCTTGTTATATAGCTTTTATGTGTTGTTACCTCAATGTGTAAAAAGTTAGGATGTTTCACAAAATATAATAACACTAGTGTTATTAATGTTTTTATTGCTGTTTTAAGGCAATTCCTACTTTTTAAATATAGAAGTATAGTAGAATGCTTGACGATTAATAAACACTTATAGTAGACTTTATTATAAAAGCCACTCGTGTAAACAACAAGAACGCCAAAATACATATATGCAACAAAATGTGGCCCACACACAATCGCACTCACATGGGGATGTTATACATAATTTATGATACGCAATTAGCTGACATTGCAAGGCAGACAATGATTTCCCCCGCTTTTCTCGGCGAATAAGCAACAATTTCGGGATCTTGAAAAACCAACCTGTTATTGAATAGCCAAGCGAGAAAACTTTTCAGCCTTCAGCGCTCAGGAAAAACACTCGAGTATATGTGGATTATATCCCTTGTGCTGTGCCTGCCTGCCCAAACAATTTTTCACTTGCGCCAACCAACGTTGTCTTTTCTCTACTTTTTTTTCTTTCCTTGGTTTAATATCACTGCCACAACAAGCTCTTCACTTTCTCTTTTCTTTTACACTTAAACTAAAATTTATGTTAATTTATTCGTGCGACTTAAAACATTAACGATGTCGTACAAAAAGGATGGCTTTTCTGGGAAAACAACGGAGGAAAATTGGCGATTTTCGTTCGCGGAGGTGACGTGACGCGTGCCTAGAGAGTTGAGAGTTACACATAAATACAGCATTAGTGGCTGCTGGTATATATCCTGCCCGTTCGCATCCACACGCGGTTCCTTGCGCCACACATCGCGTATACGACGCGTGCGCCGTGGTCTGCTGGCGCCCTCAGGCGGCGGCACCCGGCACCTGAGCGCTTTCGAAAAAGTACGCTAGATTAGCAGTTGCAGTTCGTCGTTGGTGATAAATTCACAGGCCCTCTCCGCTACAACGCGATAATCTGAAAAGGGGATTGTAAGAGAATCAATATACGATTTTTATAAAATACTTCTATAGATTTTCAGATTTTCTAAATAGTTCAACCACTATTGCCTTTAATAAGTAGTCTTTGGTATCACCTTCTGACTGCCTTAAACCTGTTTTTATATTTTAATGTATCATAATATTTTAGCCAGGCTTACCTTTCTGATATTTGCAGTTGTACATTCGCATCACACAACTGCTGGCAAAAGAGCGTAGACAACCGTCTAGGACGTCCAAAGCACATACTACCCGATAGCCCATGGGACACACATCGTGACACTTCTTGGAACCTAAGGTTGAAAATATTTTACAAAAGTACCTAAGGTTGTACGAATTCTGAATTACCCAAGGCAAAAAGGTGGCCCTCAACTGTGGTAAAGATCCCTAGCAGCACACAAATGAGGAATATTTTGTTGTTAAACGTGCAGTCAATTTGCATTTTAACTATCCAACCGTTCGCGCTGTTTGCCAATTTTGTATTAAAATTTAATTCCACAAAAGTTTTCAGAGACTCAAAAAATATTTTGTATATTTCGTGTTGTCAATTGTGTCAATATTTATACAATTCTTAAAAATATCCAGCTGCTTCTCCTGCGCCTGGCAATTTTGCCCCTACCTTCTGCATTCATCCGAGTCGCGTGTGCATCGACCTGTCGCGTCTTTTCTCCACACTGGTGAAATAATATTTTAATTTTAATAATCATATAGGTTGCAGTTTTTGTTTTCATCTCACCTTCCCGTTTTTGGCAGGCATGTTTATCCATTTCGCAGGGATTCCTGTAGGTGCATCGTATCTCCCTGCCATTTCTCACAGTTTTTCCGCAAAGGAATTCAATCCCACTTCTTGTGCAATCTTGGTTGCAGACCTGTGACGTTGAAATTCCCAGAAAAGCCAACAGAACAACCAGGAGGATCCAGTTCATTATGAGACGAGAGTTTTATAAAACTGTCCCTAGCTGCTGTTTTAATTTAGTTTTATATGTGATCAGATTTAGGCCAGCCACTGAACTCGATTCGAAATCCATATTGTCAGTCTGAAACAAAGGATTCGCTCCCATAAGCCGATCTATATTCTTTTGCACGTGTAACTACGCCATTTACATTAAATATGTATGTTCACAAACATGACGATCCAGCAAAAAGAATAAGTAAATAGTAAATAAATAAATTTCAACGAGCATATTAAAAAGTTTACTTTTAGGCTCTTTAAAAAATGTTCGTTAACGTACAAATATCGAAAACATTTTTGATAATTACGTTATATTTTATTTTTCTTTGATGTGTTTAATAATGTTTATCCCTAGTTTTTCTAAGGACAGGGGCCGATTGACGGTTCACCAATATATGCTGAAATTTTTGAAAAAAAATATATATGACAATAGATTGATTTAAAAATGGACTTACCATTGGAATTTTGGCAGGCATACTGGTCCAATTGACAGCGGTTCAGAAAGGTCATTTGTCGATCTCTTTTAACTCCGTTGCTGTCTATATAGAAAAAAGAGGCACAAACTTCTGTTCCACCTAAAGGACAGCGTCCTCGGCAATACGACAAGCATTTAACTTGAGTAGTTGAAATCAAAGCTGATAAATATTTTATAAAATATACTAAAGAAAATCCTTGTTAATATCTTTTTAGACGTACGTTGCAAGCATTGGTTTTTCCTTTGGCAGTTGTGGGATCCTAAATGACACGAGTTCTGAAAAACGCGACAAACTCCTTCCGAAACTGTCCAGATAATATTCCTGGCATAAGGATCACATCGAAACTGTAAGTTACAAGCTCCGGTACAATTTCTGATATGAGCAACATTTTCATTCAGAAATCCACAAAACAAAGCACCGAGAAGTAAAAGCTTAAAAACATCCATTATTATAATAAGTAATCATCTGACATATGCCAGATTATATAGCTCGGGATCTTTAGATAATGAAATTTCAGCTGTGCAATTAAGATTTTGGGTAAACAGGTAATATAAAAGGGTCTTCTTTGTTTAATTACAATTATTGTATGAATAAAGTATTTGTTAACGAAAAACATTACTTTCAATGAAAACATTTGCTATATTCAAAAGATGTTTATGTATCGTAATTATAAGCCATTTGAATAAAAATTATGTTATTTTTAAATACACATTTTCAGCAATTTATTTTAAATATTTATTGATAAACATTTTTTTATATATTTATTTTAAGTGCAGCGTCCAATGCGTGGTTCGTTTACATAGGCTGAAAATATAATATTAAATGGGGTTTCAATTGGTAATATTGGTAAAATAGGATAGACCCACCTTGAGCGTTACGGCAGGCATAGCTATCCAGTACGCAGCGACTCCCGAAGGCCATATCCCGACCACCAGTAGTTCCATTGCTTAACGTATAGGGAAACCATGCGCACACTGGAGGAGCTCCCCGAGAACACATCCTTGGGCAGTATATCTCCTTCATACACTCCTCCCTCGAAGTGGCTACCATGGCTAAAAAGATAATCATTTTATCATTCTTATGAAGTTGTATTTCAAACTAAATAGTACTTCAACTTACGTGGCAAGCATCGATTGGCCCTCATACAGTTTTCATTTCCGAAGATGCAGCCGTTCTGGAAAACGCGACAAACGCGATCTACTACTGTCCATACCAGATCCCTAAAGTAGGGATTACATCTTGCAGGAAAAATACAATTATTCGAGCAGCTTGTTGTTTGGGCTTCATTCAGGTGCAATAATCCGCCCAATAAAACGAATAAAAACAAGAACTTAAAGTACATGTTGATAAAGATGAAAACAGGTGACTGAAACTCTTTCCGTTGTTCTCACTCTTATATATTTATAAAGATTAACTGATCAGAACCAAGTGTTTTGAACTCGATCTTCAACAATTAAATCCCTATATAAACAGCTGGAAATAATGTTATGCCCTCTGTTAAGTTAAACAAAAAGTCATTTATGCATTTCGTCTATATGAATAAATAGTATTACTTAACTTGTGGCAACGTTTTTTTACGGTCAAAACTGTTCCTTTTCTAAATTTGTTGGACTATTATTAATAACAGCGACGTTAGCCTTAAAAGCGATGTAAGTCCAATATTCATTTATGTTTACAGTACAACCTTTACTGAGTTTGGAGTTTATTACCGGACTATTACAATTTTCCACCGAATCAAATCGTTTTAAAAATAAAACCCATGTTAATTGGATTTCTTTGCCCCAGAAAAGTGAAAAAACTGAAATTCACCAGAGACACTCATCTTCATCGATTGCAATAATCGTCTTGAGTTTTTGAAAGTCATTGCCTTTGCGAGTTTCCGGTTTTTGCTTTCAATTCGAAAGTAAAATCTACGCACGCGCAATTTTTCGCTTTTTGATTGACTTTGTCTCGTGAAGGTGTATTAATTCGGCCAAAGAGAAAAAAGGCAGCAAGCAAATGTTTGAACCCCTTAAGTAATAAATCTTTGGCTCTGTCAGCTTGGCGACACCGCGTGCGTATCTCGTTGGCCAACTTCAACGCCCACCCGTCGGCCGGCTTTTTTTTGGTTTTGGCCCGGTCCGGCCGAAAAGACATGACAGTCGACAGGTCGCAGCCAAGTGAATGGGAGCTCTGAGTGTTGGGAGCACGGAGCGCCTGGCATTATTTTCGCCTTACTTTGGCACTGGGAACTTCATATTAAAAGATCGGATTAAAAATAAAAAACCAAAAAAAATCCACCTATATATTATTAAAATAAAATATTATTCAAAATAAAATGTATATTTATTTCAATAAAGATTTGAGGGAATTAAAATACAGGCTGCAATTAGTGCTTATAATTGCTAACGGCTTAGAATAAACTCTTTATGGTTTCATGGTATTACCTTAAATAAATTGTATTATAATTTTTTTAGTTGTGGATTTTATTATTTTTTTATTTCAGTGTTTATAACTGCTTATGGCTTTAACTAAACTCTTTATGGGCTCATGGTATTAGCTTTAATACAGAAACACGCCTTTTATTCCTAAACCTCGTTCTAAAATCCACTCTGTAAGTGCGAAAGTTTTTCCGATTAAACAATCGATATACACATCTACCTGGCTTATATCGGCATGGATCATTGATGTTATTAAAACCCTTCAAAACACGAACGTTTTTATCATTTCTAAGACCATGCTTGAAAGCCACTTTTACAGGACGTCCCGTTTTTCGATCTTCCAGCAGAAATACAACATTATGACGCTTTTTTTCACTCGTCCTCTTCTGCACAACGTAGTAGTTCTTCTTTGGATAGAGATATGGATAGCACTTTTTACACGATGATCTTCGAGATTTGGGCTGGGTTCGCATATGATTTTGTGGGATATTATTGGATGCCTCATTATCTGCGTAATCACTAATGGACTGACCGAGTGTCAGATTCATGACCGCCAAGAGCATCCACACCCACACAGCAGGCATGACCGACTTTCAATTGGAGCTGCTGTGATCTCTTCAGGGAGTTCAAGTGGTGGTCGAAACGAATCGATTTGTGAAGGAAAATGATCGCTGTAAATTGAAATTCAAACATATAATTGTTAACCCGACCAGCACGTTTTCCATTTGGACTTCACAACCATTTAGAGTGATCCAAGACTGAGTGAAGGCTATAGCGGTTAACCAGTTTTGCAATGTGATCGGTGGGTGTGGAATTTTTTCGAATTGCATAGGCAATTGATCGATAATTCCCCTGAAAAGCTGTTGAATTGCATTCAATTTTAAGTGGTTTTTAACAGCTGTATTTGCTTAGAACCAGCTCATCCCTCTGCCTATAAAAGCTCATCACCCCGCCACTAATCAGTCAGAATAAATCTTACTTCTCCGAAAATGAAGTCGTTTATTGTGATTTTCTGTCTGTTTCTCATCTCAGTTCTGATTGAGGCCCAAACCAGGCCAGGTTGTCCTGGCATCTGTCCTGCAGTTTATCAACCCGTTTGTGGAGAAGCTTCAGTTAGGGGAAGACTCGTGCGATGTAGTTTTGGCAATGGATGTGAAATGGGAGTCAGCTCCTGTCGCCATAACATAAGTGAGTAATACAAATTTTGCTATTTAAGTAACTTTTACTTTGAGAATTTCACTCATTTTTAGACTGGCGTGAGAGGCCCTTGGAAAGATGTGGAAGCCCTTCTCCCGTCTGCAGTCAACTTCGCTAATCTATAATAATAGTATAGTCGCAAATAAACAAGCACATGTTTTAGACTCAGTTTCAGTTTAGTTAGTTTACTTAGCGAGTTGGCGAATTTATAAATTAAATATAATTTGGAGTAATTGTTGTTCTACATTGAAATTGATGTCTTGGAGATTTTTTGGTTTAATAAAAAGAATATGAACATGCTTTTTAGACAATATTATTTTCCCTAAAATAAAAAAGTTTGTGTGAATTTCAAGAATCGCTATGTGTTTAATTCTGCGCAAGTGTTTTTTTCTTGGGTAAGGTCGACTCTTGTGTATGTGTCTTACTTTTAAAAACGATTTCTTTATTAAATATTTCAAGACTTGTGATATTTCAAGATCTTGTGATCTAATTTTAGACACAACTACAATGTTATCTGCTTTATACTTGTTTCTATTTACTTTTCTCTTACTTTTTCTAAGAAAATTCAAACATTCCCACATCTGTTTTCTCTAGTGACCTTGGCTAACGAATTTCGTAGCACGGTGGGTTCTATAAAACCCATAACACTCAAATTGCGAGGGTTAGTACCTACTAAGCTCGCTCGCAAATTCTAAGAATGCGTTTCAGCATCATAGTGCTTTGTGCTTTAATTTGCCTCTTCGTTATTTTGACCGAAGCTAGACAGAAGAAAGTGAATCGTGCGGCATCCAGATCCTTGGCAGTCAGAAATGGGAACAAAAAGCAGCGAAGTAATGTGCGTCAACGAAATGGAAATAAGCCATCTGCCAAATCAAAGAATCTTAAGAAACGTAGACTAAATGCGGGCAAGAAAAAAAAGAAAAGTAAAAATTTGGCCAAGAAAAATCGAAGGAAAAGTAATTCGGTCAAAAATCGTAAAGCGAAGGTCAAGTCAAGTTCTACCAGTAGTTCCAGTTTTGCTACTCTACCACTGGACTTCCAACAGAATTTCGTACGAACCACGGACAATTTGCGATCGGAGAAGGCATTTTTGGCCAGACGTTATGGTTTTAGTTTTGCCAAGACTTCTGGAACCGCAAGACTAAAAAACACGGCAAATATGGAGTACACCTGCAAGCTAAGCATTGGCACACCGAAGCAAAGGTTCACAATACTTCCGGATACCGGTAGTTCGAATCTGTGGGTCACAGGACCGCAATGCAAGAGCAAGGCCTGCCGGAAACATAAGCGTTATCATCCTACAAAATCGAGCACCTATATAGAAGACGGCGAGGAATTCGAGATTGAATATGAGTCGGGTGCTCTGGCAGGATATCTGGCCATTGACACTGTGAGTATAGCTGGACTGACAGTCACCAACCAGACCTTCGCGATGAGCAGCAAGGAACCGGGAAGTACCTTTACAACGGCCAATTTCGATGGTATACTGGGTATGGGTTATAAGTCCATATCCGTGGATGGTGTCACGCCCGTGGTGCAGAACATGTGCGCGCAGGATGTGATCAGCCCTTGTAGGTTTGCCATTTGCATGAAGGGCGGTGGCAGCTCCTCCCGAGGTGGTGCCATATTCTTTGGCAATTCCAGTACCAGCGCTTTCAGTGGATCGAATAGCTATATCTACACTCCGGTGACCACAAAGGGTTATTGGCAGTTTACGCTGCAGGCTGTCTACGTGGGCAGCACCAAAGTGAGTGGTTCGGTGCAGGCAATTGTGGATTCCGGAACTTCCCTCATGACTGCCCCAACGGCAATCTACAAAAAGATTAACAAGATCCTCGGTTGCAAGGAGACCTCCAGCGGAGAGTGTTGGATGAAGTGCTCGACGGATGTACCCGACGTCACCATGGTCATTGGGGGCACAGAGTTCGTTCTTAAGGGTAAAAAGATGATGTTGAAAGTGAAAACCTCCAAGGGCAAGACTGTTTGCATATCGGTGGTAACCGAAGTTCCGGACGAACCTATGATCTTGGGCGATGCCTTCATCAGGCATTTCTGCACCGTCTTCGACTTCGCCAATAATCGCATTGGATTCGCTGCCACTACCTATAAGACCTAGGCCTTAATGTATTATTTTAATAAGTAAATACAATTAATTTAATCTCATGTAGGGGGGGGAAAATAAAGTTTACTAAAATAATTAATACTAAATATATTTCATATGTTCTGAAGTTTTGACCTACCCAATTGCCTGCCTAATTAGCCAAAAACAGCTGCGATTTTACATAAGCAATATTCCGATGGAAATGTAAAAATAGGAGAGGTACTGTTTTCAGTTCTCTAAGTGAGCTCATCGAAGATGCTTCGAATCTTGTTTGTTTTACTCGCATTTTCGTGTTTATCATTTGCCAATAAAAAAGTACTGAAAGTGCCGCTCTATGCTACTGAAAAAGTCAATGGAAGTGATCTTTTCTTCGCCAGGAACTTAACCAAAGGAAGTGAGACCCTTCACCTAAAGCTACAGACCCACACAAACCTGGCATATTATGGAAACATTTCCATGGGAACTCCGAAGCAACATTTTAGTGTGATCTTCGACACTGGATCTTCGAACACTTGGTTGCCCTCTATAAATTGTCCCAAAAGCAATTTAGCCTGTCAGAACCATCGAAGATACAACTCTTCGCGATCTAGTACTTATACACCTGATGGACGCAACTTTACCCTGCGATATGGATCTGGTAGAGTGGTTGGTTATCTATCCAAGGACACCTTGCATTTTTCTGGAGCTGATCTACCCGACGTGATATTCGGAGAAAGTCTATTCTTGCAACATTTTGCCTTCAATACTGTGAGATTTGATGGACTGGTGGGCTTGGGTCTGGGAATATTAGCGTGGTCCAATACGACACCATTTTTGGAACTCCTTTGTGCCAAAAAACTGATTGAGAAATGCCTTTTCTCGGTTTACCTCCGACGACATCCACCAGATATCCCCGGCGGAGAGATACTCTTCGGCGGTTTTGACAAATCAAAATTTGAAGGAAAACTTCATTATGTGCCGATAAGCCTATGGAACAGTTGGAATCTGGAAATAACTAAAACAACCGTGGGATCTAAACAAATTGGTGGAAAAATCAATGCTATTTTGGATACGGGCACGTCGCTGATTTTAATGCCCCAAGAATCGTACGATAATCTGCTAAAAGTCTTATCAACTAGAGTAGAAAATGGCTATAATGTACTGACATGTGAGGACAAAACTTTGCCTAATATTAATATTCTCATTGGAGGCAGAGTATTTCCTCTAACAGCCAATGATTATCTGATGGAGTTGACACTTGGTCGTAAAAAGTTGTGTGTACTGGCCGTTGCTCCCATTAATAGGGGATTTTGGGTTCTGGGAGATGTCTTTCTGGGCCGATATTATACGGTTTATGATGCCACGGCCAAGAGAATTGGATTGGCCAAGGCGGTGCGAAGGGGTAAATAACAATATAAAGTGGTCTTAATCCAGTATTCAAACATGGAAAATCCAATTCATATAAATATATATGTGTTTATGCGTATTGAAGTAATATTAGTTATTTTCCATAAATGTAAAAGAAAGATTTATAAAAAGTTCTGTCAGTAAATTAAGTTATTAGGTTAAAGACAATTCATAAAATAAATAGAATAATAAAGTTAAAAAAAAAACATCGTTTTTCCCATTGTTTTGTTAAAATGAATTATCTTATTATATTATTTTTCCCGTAATATTTATAATTACAGTTTGTTATTTCGCTGGTAAAATTTCCAACTTATTATTGTCAGACTTAAAACTTTATAAACAGTACATATGGGTCTGTATAGACCACAGTTCGCACAATTTAATTCGGTAATTGGCAATTGCTTTGTTTATTCAATTAAATGTACTCGCCCTATTTATCTCTATTCACGCAAACATTGAAGTGCGTTCAACCACCGCATTAGCCAATTCCATTTGAATGCCAGACGAATTTGGCCATTAAAATGCTCCATTTGCAGGTGCTATAAAACAATCGCGGCCAGAATCTTTGCCAATTAGTTCGAAGGGAATTTACAAACGGTTCGGATCGGTTTGATTTCGGTTGGTCAGCGATTATGCAGTGCCTCCTTTGGCTGCTCTTGTCCCTGTGGATCTTGTGCCTGTTTTGGCCAAGATCAGAGGGCCAAGTGATCCGCATTCCAATGCAATATCAGGCCTCTTTTATGGCCAGTCGTCGGCAACATCGTGCAGGAAGAACATCTCTATTAGCCAAATACAATGTGGTTGGTGGACCGGAGATTACGTCAAGGGATAGCCTAGGAGCCACGGAAACTTTGGACAATCGATTGAATCTGGAGTACGCTGGACCCATTAGCATAGGATCGCCGGGTCAGCCCTTCAATATGCTGTTCGACACAGGATCCGCCAATCTCTGGGTGCCCAGTGCAGACTGTTCATCCAAGAACTTGGCCTGTCAGCACCATCATCGCTACAACTCCAGTGCCTCGAGCAGTTATGTTCCGGATGGTCGAAGGTTTGCCATAGCCTATGGAACTGGAAGTCTATCGGGTCGTTTGGCCCAGGATACGGTGGCCATTGGCCAACTGGTGGTGCGGAATCAAACATTTGGCATGGCCATGCATGAGCCGGGTTCAACCTTTGTGGATACCAATTTTGCGGGTATCGTAGGACTGGGTTTTCGAGCCATAGCTGAACAGAGAATAAAGCCATTGTTCGAAAATATGTGCGATCAGCATCTAGTGGATGAGTGTATATTCTCTTTTTACCTGAAACGCAATGGCAGTGAAAGAATGGGTGGTGAGCTACTGTTCGGTGGTGTGGATAAGACCAAGTTCTCAGGAACACTAACCTATGTACCGCTCACCCATGCGGGGTATTGGCAGTTCCCAATGGATGGCATAGAACTGGGCGGTAGGATAATCAGCCAGAATCGCCAGGCCATTGCGGATACGGGCACATCTCTATTGGCAGCTCCTCCCAGGGAATATCTGATAATAAATAGCCTTCTAGGCGGCTTACCCACTTCGAATAATGAATATCTGCTCAACTGTGCGGAGATCGATAAATTGCCCGAGATAGTGTTCATCATTGGAGGTCAGCGATTTCCCCTGCAGCCCAGGGATTATGTAATGAGTGCTGCCAATAATGATGGATCGGTGATATGTCTATCAGCTTTTACGCTGATGGAGGCAGAGTTTTGGATTCTGGGAGACGTGTTCATAGGGCGTTATTACACCGCCTTTGATGTAGGTCATCGGCGGATCGGATTTGCCCCAGCAGCCTGAACAACACGTTTTGCTTAGTTTCGTTTCCAATAAGCCACAAACATCTGTTCTATTTAATGACAAAACTTGGCCATAAAACGTGGCCGGAGAGAAATCACGAGAGTAGACTACAGAGAGAATAACGATTGAAACCTGATTGTGGAAAAAAACAGCTGATCAACTCACGTTCGGTCTGGCGAGCCCATCGAATATATTATAATTAAATTACCTAAGCTGTTCCCTAACAAGAGGGTATATGTGTTTATGTTAGCCCTAACTAAATTAGGTAATACAGCATTTTTTAATATAAATATAATAAACTTTCAAACAATATTTTACATCTAGTTTCTCAAGGTTAATACTTAATTAGTTTTAAGAGTGTATTTTGAATAAGATTATATTCTGATAATAATCATTCATACTTCATTAGTTTCAAGAGTGTATTTTGATTGAGACTATATTCCGATAATAATCATTTAAATATAGGTACTTCCCTGGCTATCATTTTAAAATCGACATAAATGTGTCAATAATTACAAAAAAATCACCGTTTTCAGGCAGGTTTGTGACGTTTCTGAATATATTGACACTGATTAAGACCTCTCAGACCCTAGAAACGCCCCTTATCTGCGAATATAAAAGCGCATCACGCATTAAAGCTAGTCAGTTGTAGAAAAGTATTCAATATGAAGGCGTTCTTATCTCTGGTTCTGTTGCTGGCTCTGGCTTTAAGCCAAGCTAGTGCTAGTTGCCCGGAAAGCTGTCCCGATACGGAGGATGTTGTCTGGGCTCTTGGAGGCATTTGCAATGTTTTCCGCAACAAGTGCTACTTCGACCAGGCGAACTGCAATCGAGATCCAGGTTGCAATTATTTTATACTTACCTATTTGTTGATTTCTTAACCAAGTTTTATAGCGTTTACCATCACCACCAAGGAGGAGTGCCAGAAAAATTGCGACATCGCTTGTATTGCGCAATATGACCCTGTGTATGGTACTTATAAGGGCCAGGAGCGCCGCTTTGGTAATGAGTGTGAAAAGACTGTTCACACCTGCCGAACTGGCGAAAGTAAGTGAAAAATAATTGTTCAAGAAAAAAGGATTTTATACTAATTATAAAATATTATTTTTACAGCCTTTGTGTAGTGGAACATATAAAATGTAAAGCCTCAAAGCGTGCTTGCAAATAAATGCATTTTTAAAATGACTAACTAACGAATATAATTTGTCTATTTTATGTAGAATTTAAATGTGGGATAAGACAGTTTATATCCTTACAGATTATATCTTTAGAGCCGTTTTCGAGTTGGAAGAATTTTTCGCATTCTTTTGATGTTCTTTTTATCTAGCTTATACACCTGGTCATCGCTATCTTAAAAACCAGATAATTATTCAAAGTATTATTGCAAAAACCCCCATATTTTTATGCATAAATTAAAATCAATAACAATTTCCGAAGACAGGCCCCTTTTCAGCAGATATAAAACAGGGTTAAATGACAGTCGTAAACTTGTGGTTCTGGGTGAATTTTGTGGTTCTGGGTGCAGTGTTTTCCGCAATATACCTGGACAAGAAATTAATACAAATTAATAGGTACAAATACCTTTTAAAAATGTATTTAAGTTAATTAAAATAAACAATAGAGTAATTCACTGGCGATCACACTGACAGGTATAAGATGTGCAAATTAGATAAAACGACAATACTCGGAAAAAATCCCCCACATCTGGTGAGCATGTGACGTTTTAGATTTATAGGAATCTTCACCGCCCATTCGAGAACCTATAAAAACGAGAATCAAACAAAGCACCTGTTCAGTTCATTTCCAAACTCAAAGGCTAGCAGAATGTTATTCGCCATAAAACCGGCTATCTTCATTTGTCTTTTACTAGGCCTGGCTTTAAACCAAGTTAGTGCACATTGCTCTGGAGATTGCCCCGAAACGGAGGATGTAGTTTGGGCCCTTGGAGGCGGTTGCAGTGTTTTTCGCAATAAATGCTACTTTGATCAGGAGAACTGCCATCGCAAGCCAGGTAATAGATTGGAAACTATTTTATGTAAATGTGAAGTTAATAAATAAACTACTGGTGTAGCATTGACCATCGCAACTAAGGAAGAGTGCCAAAAGCAATGTGCCGACATTTGCCCCGCCATTTACCAACCGGTAAGTGGAACGTATAAGGGTGAACTTCGCAACTTTGGAAATGAGTGCGAAAAGAGGGCTCACACTTGTCGAACTGGCGAAAGTAAGTGCTTTTAGATATGAGTAATCACTTTATCTATTTTCATACATTTCCCTTTAACAGCGTTTCTGTAAAATAAGCAGCAAAGAACTGGAAAATAAAAAAATAAATGGAATAACTTGGTTATGACTTGGTTATTTCCTTAAAGTATTTAAAATATTTATTATTTACTTAACTTAATGTCTATTAAGAGAATCACATCATTTATTTGTTGGGAGCAGACGGTAATTTATAAAGGGAAGGACCAATTTATATATATTTTCTTAATCATAAAATCGTAATAAAAAAGTTTTGATAAATTGGCAGAAAATCCTTATTGCAACGGATTTGACCGTTGGAATCATAGAACTTTACATTCTGTGCTTTCCAAATCACAATTAATCCATTAAGTAATTTTTTAATGATCATTACCAAAGTAGCGCTTTTGTTTGTGAAATCGTCATTGTCCACAGAACAATTAAATTAATATGGTCATTTGTCATGCTGTCAGTACTTACTTTATCTGTAACTGTAGAACCTATATAATCTCATCATAAATAGGAAAAAAAAACTATAGACACAATATATTTCAAAAACTTTTATAAATTAGTTATGAGCAGCTAAATGTTTTTTCAACGCAATACTCTTCTCAGCTGTTTATTTACTTGATTTGTCAACAAGAACACTTCGAGACCGAATAGTAAACCTAATGTTAACTGTTAATCCTATATAGTCCAGGACAATAATGCACTTTAACGCTGTGTTATCACAGAACAAGGCATGTCGTTTACTCTGCACTAAAACCATTTGAGAATTATAAGGAAACAGTTGTTATAAGAAAATCACTTTAAAGTTACAAATTCTAATTGCGGAGTTATTTGCACATTTTAGTAACCATGTTATCATAAATCAGACACTTAATTTTTTATTTTAGAGTACACTTCTTGGGTTTTTACTAAATAGAAAACCAGTTTAAAAGAATGCGTTTGCAAACATGCCTATGGGTTCGGTAAACTCGGATTGACATACTGGAGGGTTTGGAGTTCAGAGCTCTAGGTACTGCGAATAACTGGATTAATGAAACTCCCAAGTTGAACGTTCCTAGCCTGCATATACCATATAGCCTGTGATTTATGGCTTGCGTTAGTATATTTATATTTTTTAATTAGCTGCTTACCGACGATGCCATTGCAGTGCTTATCTTTTAATTAATTTCTAATTAAAATGGGGTTCTTACTAAGTTTAAGATGTTGGACTCGGCTTCTAGTGTGCCGTGGGTATAAAACCGTAAGGGTTCCTGTGAATTGGCATCAGTTGACTCACGAGTAACAAAGCAAATAATTATTATAAAGCAAAGCAAATATGGCCCTGCGATTCGTTGTTGTGATCAGTGCCTGGTTAGTCCTTGCCCAAGGATCTTTTCTCCACGGATCTCTGAATGAAGCCCACCAATCGGACATTGTTGGTGCTGAAGCGGAGGTTCCCCAGGAGGGATACTTGCCTGCTGAGGATGTTATAGAGCCACATTCGCTTCATCATGAATCTGAGGGAGTAGGACACCATCATCATGGAGGACATAACTTTCAGTCTCAATCCCATCATCACGAGCATGGCCCCCATCATCACCTGGAGTCGCATCATCACCTGTCTGAGTCCCATCATCATCATCACTTGTCCGAGTCGCACCATCTCATCCATGGCTCTCCCCATCACCATCATCACCTGGAGGCCCCCCATCACGGAGCCCATCACCACCATCATTTGGAGGCCACACACCACGGAATTCACGGATCTCATGGAGTTCACCACGTGCATCATCATCGCAATTGTCATGCAACCATCCACTGCCCCAGCTACCATAGCCCAACTTATGCCACCGATGGACATCTCTGCTATAAGGTGGAGAACTCCTGCGAATTGGCCATTTTGAACTGCCTGCGTCGCAATGAACTTAAGCCACGTTAGTCTTGGTCTAATCCAAAGACAGAACCATAATAATATCATTGTTTTTTTCAGTCTTGAGACACATCAGTGGCCACGAGTGCCACCATCTTCCCAGCGCTCACAGATCCCACAGAGCCCATTAACCTGTACAGAGAATTACTGAATCCCTGGTCATATTTACCCAATTATTCCCTATCCCGACTTTTGCGTAACAACTTACCCAAATAAATAAATATCTATTGAAAGTATGTGATTTAAGTCTATTTTATGGCAATGATGTTATTGGTGGGAGTGGGGTTTTAAGGCTGAATGTGGCTTAAATTAGTTAAGAATAGTTATAAGAAAACGAACACAGCCCTAAAGCCTAACAAGACAAAATCCATTTTTCCTATATCCCTGCTTATAGTGTATATCAGGGAGTGTAACGATATAATTTGAAAAATAAAGATTATATTATATAAATTATTTTGTATCTTTATCAAAAAATTAAAGGTCATAACGTGCTTAAATTTTAACAAAAAATTTAAGTCAACATAAATATCTTTTTATTTAATAAGTGAATTAGGGAAGCCAAAAAGTAGGCAGCAATAAAAACCTGTACACTTTATATTAATTTAGGGGTCGAAAAATTAATACTAGTTGCCTTAATACGTAAAACAGTTGAACGCTGATTGAAAAAATGAATCTTTTTTCCCTAAAGCTGCGGATACGTATTACGCAATTATGTCTAAGTAGCAGCTGATAAAAAAATATATATATGTAGATGCATACGACTTTTAAAAAAATATATATATGTTATATCTAAAAATGATTTTCGACCATGCAATAACTTTTTATGCTATAGTACCACTTTATTACAAATTTTTTCAGAATAACATAACACAAATATAATAAACTCTTACCTCTTTACTCTTTATACAGTATTATTATTTTGTTATTTAATTTGAAATAAAAAATGTATAGGAAAATGTATAAAATAAAAATTAAGAATTTAGGCATTAGGAAAATTCCATTAACTTATTTAATCAAAAGTGCAATGCACTTGTAAATGCAAAAAACTGGGTCAACTTTTAATTTCGTGTAAATAAATGACATCACTTTACTGCAGTAATTACTTTAAGATGATGAATGACATTCTTCGAAAATTCAGAACTTGGATGAGTTTCATCAGTATAAAAGTCCCAAGTTCGCAGCAGAAAGCATCAGTTGTTTCACCAACAATCATCCCAAATAACCAAAGCAAAATGGCAGCCCGTTTCTTTATTGTCTTCAGCGCCATAATCGTCCTGGCCCAAGGATCGAATATCTTGCCAATCGAAGAGGAATCGGAGGTGGCAGTCCACTCTGGAGTGCCCTTGTCTGGAGCTCCTGTGGCCATCGTTTCCCAAGGACATCAATCTGTACCCCAGCCCATTGGTTCTGCCTATGGCCACGGCCCACTCCAAGTTCCACTTGGAGGAGCTCATCGCGGGAATCGGATCAGGATTGGCCGGACCTCGTGCCTACGGGGTTGCTCCTCGTCCTGCTGTGTCCATTGCTCGTCCTGCCGCCGTGGTCGTGCCCGCCGTTGTGGTTGCCCCAGTGGCTCCCATTCGCCAGCCTCATGGAGTGGCTGCCCCTGTTCTCGTGGGAGCCGGTCATGGAAATGTGAACCATGGTCGCCACCACGGATAGAAACCCCACCAAGACGCTAGCCGAAATGTTATGCAACCCGTTTGACAGATCTTTACCAAGCCAATCAAAGCAATAGAAATTTTACAACCACACCACATACAACAACAATAATAAAAATATATTTATCCAAAAAACACGTTTTTATATTTATTTGGAAAGCTATGTATAGCCCTCATACCAGTGGCGGCTCCAAAATTTGGTTGTGGGGGATATAAAAAAATGTTGAGTATACATATTACATATACTTTTTACCCGAGTGGGGGGATCTGTCCCCTATATCGCCAGAAGATTCACGTGGATGATACCTAACATTAGTGGACTATTTTAAGGCGTTACATCTAAAGTTTTGAGGTGGGAAAATAGCTCTTAGCTTGTGTATACTTTTGCAGGGCTCTATTACGCATAAAACCACGCTAACAAAATAACATACTACAAACCTTTAAGAGAACTCCGATTTTATACTTCTTTTTCATAGGAAGAATGAAAAATTCTAAGCTGCTAAAATGTATTACAGATGAAAAAAAATGTTCAATCAGATAAGCATGTTGTTGGTACTCTTTACTTCACTAAGTAGTTTAAAATATACATGGCCTTTTATAAATTTTATAAATAATGGTCAAATTGGCTACCTCTTTTTTTAATATTTGAAATATAATTTTAAAAATATAATTCGTATTACTTTAAAAGCCAAGATACTTTCATAAAAATTAACCAAACTTTAGCGCAAAAAATATTGTTGTATTTATAACAGAAAATAATTATAAACAAAAATAAAATAAATATATTAACTTAGATTAAGTTAAGTACTCAAAAAAAATCAGGTATTCAAATTTGTATTTACAATTTAGTTAAAAGTTAAGCAACTTTACAATTTAGTTAGGGTCAAAAAACTTTGTTTGACCTGGGTCTGAGTTGAAAATGCAAATTACTTACGAAGCTAATGGCTAGTGAGTCGGGTGATTACTTTTAAATAATTAATTGCATGCTCTTACTGTTCTGATTTGAAGTGGACCTCTAAAGTATATAAGTTTTCCCTTCTCAATTGAAATCATCAGTTGTCTTTCGAGCAATAATCACAAATAAGCACATCAAAATGGCATTCCGATTCACTTTTGTCTTTATTGCCACAATCGTCCTGGCTCAAGGATCGATTATTTCACCAGTCGAGCAGGAGTCTCTCGTGGGACTACATCACTCTGGAGTGGTTTCATCTGGAGCTCCTGTTCTTGGCGCTTCACGTGGCCATTCCGCTGTTCCCCAGCCTCAACGCCCCGTCTCTGGTCATGGATCCCTCGCCGGTCCAGTTGGAGGATCCCGTCGAGTGAGTGGAGCAGGATTGGCAGGATCTCGTCCTCATGGTGGTGCCCCTCGTCGTCCTTCTGCTGGCACCCATGGTCGTCCAATTGGAGGAGTTGCCCACGCGGGTCGTCCCATCGGAGGTGGAGCTGCCCAGGGAAATGCTCACCAGAATCGGAATCGCAACCAGAAACCCTATTAGAAAACCGATCGACTCATCAACGTAATGAACTGAAGAAATCATCTTGAAAATAATTTGTATAAACTCTACATAATTCTAAATATGATTTTCTCATAACTATCTTCTGCAAATAATAACAATTGTTATACAAAAAAATGTGTATTACTCGGTCTCTGGGGGAAATCTGGGGAATATTTCTAGATTTTCATACTAAATCAATAATTTCATTTACTAGGTTGCATTTTTTCACCCTCTATTATACATGATTGGGAATGACTATACTAAAATTTCGTCAGAAAGAGCATTATATAAAGGAACTTGGGTAGGATATTTTAAAACAGGGCTTGACAACTCTTTTTATAAAAGTAATATATTTGGCCAGTGATTTTATTGAACTTTTAAATTTTTTATCGACATTGAAAAGGGCTGCAGACTAAAAAAATTAAGTTAATTTTGTCATGAATAACTTCTGCTGTATTTTAAGTCGACCATTTTTAAGTACCTTAAAATAAATTTTTTAAAAGCAATAAAAATGCTACAAACCTTTTAAAATGGCATGGAAAACGCCTATATTTTCTCAAAAATTTTTGAACACCAATATTAATCTTTAACATGACCTGTCTAAGCAAAAATTTGGTTGTAAAATAAAATTAATTTACACGAGCTAATTTGTTGGTAGAATCAGGTGAAGCTGAATATTAAGAAACAAGAAAAAATTAAATTCTAAGTAACAATGTTTATAGGTATATCGATTTTATTCATAATAACTTCTTTAAACGTTTTAAGAAATAAGAAATATGACTGAAGTCGAGTGAAAAGAAAACAAATTAGACCAATTTATCTAAAATGTAAACAATTATCTGCGCATGAAAAAACAAGACCAATGAACTCAAGCTGGCATGCGAATGAGTTCAGAGGCCATTATACTTTAGAAGCTGAATCAAGTTTTGTAACTCACGTGTTGTCACTCCCGATGTAGTTACTATATTTTAAAATGTATTAAGTGTTTTAGTATTTTGTGATTAGATTGAGATTTTTAAGTGATCGAGTTTGACTATAAAAGCTTTAATTTTCCAGGTTGAAATTATCAGTTGAACCTGAAGCATTCATCGCAAATAACCAAATCAAAATGGCATCCCGATTCATTGTTGTCCTCAGCGCCATAATCGTCCTGGCTCAAGGATCTAATATTTTGTCCATCGAACAGGATTCAGAGGTTGCTGTTCACTAAGGAGTTCCTTTGGGAGCTCCGGCTGTCTTAGTTTCCCAAGGACACCCATCTGTGCACCTGCCCCAACGTCCCATCTACAGCCATGGCCCAGGCCCAGTAGTATCTGCACCACTTGGAGGACATCCCAGAATACTCGGATCTGGATTGGCTGGACCTCGTCCCTATGTGGCTGCTCCTCTTCATTCGGCTCCTGCATCCTATGTTCGTCCTGCTACTGTGGTGGTTCCCGCTCCTCGAGTGGTTGTTCCTGCTCCTCGTGTCATTGTTCCTGCTCCTCGAGTGGTGGTTGCTCATCCTGCCCCAGTTGTGGTTGCATCTGGTCACGGAAACGTTCACCATATCCGTAATCGCGGCCAGAAACCGTACTAAGTTGTAAACTGACCTTCACCCATTTGAATAATGACTATGCTTCAAGAAACTGAGCTGAACTAATTTGATTCATACTTAAAACCTGTCTATAACCCAAATTAAAGTAAAAGCAATGGAAATACAAAATTGTATAACCAAATATTGTTTACCCATTTGAGTACTGCCTATAATAAAACAACACTGAAACAATTAATTCTATTTATGGTCTCTTTTATTTTGGTTACAAAAAAAAACAGGGTTCTATAAAAATAATATTTGTTGTTATGCAAAATAAGGTTGAAAAATTCAAATTTGTCTAAATTGAGTTCATTGAAACTCTAATAAGTTTTTGTCAACCAAATAATATAACCATTATTTTGGAAGAACAGATTACTTGTATATTAATAGACATATGTATCTACTTAAATGATATTAAAAAATGAAGTTACGATCTTTAAAAAAGGAGGATACATTATCATACTTATTTGGACCTTAAAATTAACATGTCTAATACAGCTTGTTTCATTTTTATGAAGTCATGTTGACAATGAAGATGAGAGATAAGTTCCCTTAAACTTTTCGTGTCTTTTTTTAAATTTCTTATAATATAAAATTTATTATAGTACATACATATAAACATGTTATATCAAATTAACTATTGCTACACAATATATTATCTACCGTAATGTCATAATCAAGTTTACAACTTTTATAACGAAATTTCCCATACGACAGTCCATAAATCACGATAGCGGCTTTAGGAGGTTAGTGAACGATATTTTAATTAAAGTGGGTCAAAGTGGAAATTCCAAATAAATTTGATTTATTATACTTAAGTAATTGGAATTATTAAGTTTTATTTTAAAGTTTTTGTCGTTTTTTTTTCATTATGAAAATTTTATAAAGCCTATAAAAAGAAAGTATATTCCAACAGAATCATCAGTTGTTAAAAAATCACTCGAAAATATTTTCAGTCCTGCACTTGAATAACTAGAAGCTAATATGGCAATCCGATCTGTTGTTGTGCTCAGCGTCCTGGTCGTCCTGGTCAAAGGAACACACATATTGGAGCCGGAATCAGCCGTTGAAGCTCATTCTGCCGGAGGTGTTTCTTCGCAAGGGGCCATTAGTTTTCCCGAAACGAGACCAGCTCCAGGATCCCAGTCTCAATCACCAGCTCCTCGTCCGGCTCCTCGTCCTGTGGGAGCACCTCGCTCTGTGGGAGCACTTCGTCCTGCTGTTGCTCCTCGTCGTCCGGCTGGATCCAAATCCCGTCCTTCAGTTGTCGTCAACTCCGTACGTCCCATTGGCGGAGGAACTGGTCATGGCCAAAATCGCAATCGCATCCAGAAACCCTACTAAATCAAATAGAAAACTGAGCCCACGAATAAACTGTTCCTGATAAAAAGCAAATTGGTCAAAACAATTAAATTCTCTTGTTAAAATATTTAAAAACGATAACTATTCTTGAATTTTATTGGATTTGGAGGAAAGGGATTTTTGATAATCAAATACAGATCTATCTAAACGATCATCAATTAAGTTCGTATACAATTTATTTGGTACAATACAAACTGCAAATATATAAATAAGACTTATGTTACGTTTTATTCAAATTTTGTTGTAGACATAAATTTATTTTTATTTTTTTTGGTGTTCTCAAAATGTTTATATTTGATGAGAACAATAATAAAACCAGGACAATTCAATGTCAATAGTAAAATCCACATTTTATAAGGAGATTTCTCGTTCAAAAGTCAGATCAACATACTCAGTATGTATCTGAATTAAATTTTTAGAAGTCCTAAAATGGCTAAAGTCTTTGTTAATTCACAAGATTGCATTAAAAGCTGGCAATACACTTTGGGCCAACTATTCGATAAATGTTTAAACCATGAAGTGCACTCGGTTGGGTGCTTAGCTTGTCGCTAACGCTTTAATTGGCACATTAACCAGTTCATCAAAGGTGCGATTGGTGTTAAACTGTGGAGTTTGATTTTAATCCCAATATCTGATGTCCCACCCGCCATTGTTGAATAAATATTACTAGTGTTTTTTTATAACAATTGTTATTATTTGCAGTAAATGGTTATGTGAAAAACGTTTTAAGGATTGGGAAAAATGGAGGAGAGAGAAGGCGTCATAATATCGATATTCATTTGGTAATTTGCTGGTGTTGTATGGCGACTCCTAATAGGGTTTCTGGTTGCGATTGCGGTTCTGGTGAGCATTTCCATGGGCAGCTCCACCTCCGATGGGGCGACCTGCGTGTGCACCTCCTCCAATTGGACGACCATGGGCACCAGCAGATGGACGACTAAGAGCAGCGCCATGAGGACGAGATCCGGCTACTCCTGCTCCACTCACTCGACGGGATCCTCCAACGGGACCAGGGAGGGATCCATGACCAGAGACGGGGCGTTGAGGCTGGGGAACAGCGGAATGGCCACGTGAAGCACCAAGAACAGAAGCTCCAGATGAAACCACTCCAGAGTGGTGCACTCCAACCCCAGAATCCTGATGCACTGACGACAGATAAGATCCTTGAGCCAGGACAACCAGGGCACTGATCACGAAAATGTAACGGAAAGCCATTTTATTGCTGTTTGAACTTTTGATTAGGTGCTTGATTGTTAAAGGGGAAACAACTGATGCTTTCCTTCAAAAACTGAATACTTTTATAGCAGAAACTCTCTTATTCAAAACAAATCTGAAACGCATATTAGGGATTTAATTAGTTTTTAAATAAAGATAATGACAATGATGTCATTTATAAACTTAAGTTAGATTTAATCTTAAGTTTCCCGCAATGATCCAGTTTTTATAATTTTGGTATTTAGCAATTAATGAATCACAGTTAAGTAGTTCAACAACCTGACTAAAAAATATTGAAAATGAGCTCTGAACTAAAGTCAGAAGTACGCATTTTAACAAGCGCTTTGAAAGTTGACTTAATTTACAATATCAGAGAAAAAACCGTAGATTTTTCTTACACGTATAGGCATATTTTGCCATTTTATACTTTTTCGGACAACTCCTAAAGCAATTTATGCATAATACATGAATGGCTGGCTAACACAGAAGCCCCCTTTTCGTACAATTATGGCTAAGCTAACATTACGGGCTACCATCGGTTTAATTGGCATATAGAAGACTTGATTAAGCCGTCCATTTGCGAGGCCAAAAAAGAGACACCCCATCATCGTTGTTGCCAGGAAGTCGTAAATTTGCGAAAATATTTTTGAAAATATAGGCTTTTTCAAGTGATAGATCTCGAAAATAATGGGTAACCTTGCCATATATAGCTCAGGGTCTGTTTATTAACCATAACAATGAAAGCAAATTAGGCTCATGATTGTCTAAGAAATGGCAAACCCAATTGGGCTTTGATAGGTGGGCAATAATAATAAAAAATGGTAAAAATGAAATGTCATGGTGGCAACATTTAATGAAATTACGTAAAAAACATTTGGCAATTTATACAATTTAGAAAGTAAAGCGAAGTGTGTGAACCAATTTGGGTATAACACTCATATTTAATAAAGTTTATTTTCAACAAAAAAAAGTAAGAAATAGCATTTTTGTGAGGTTTTCATTAGTTCTTCATTAATGTTCAACTAATTGAAACTCTACTCCTATGCAATCATGACTCATTCGCACCGTTGTCGCCAGCTGTGCGATTTGGGTGTTAACACTTTTTATTTACTTATTTTTCGTTTGTCAAGCTGACATGCAAGCGTTGCGGGTTTCCAGTTACTCGTTTTAATTTTAATTACATTTTTCGTATACAATTAGCTAACAAATCAATGCGAAACCGTTAGACAAAAAGAACAAATCGGATTAAATAAGTAAAGCAGACAGAGAAAAATTGTATATCAACAATTGCTCAATCGATCCGATCAAATAACAAATAACTTTGTGCCGAATATTGACATTTCGTAAGCATTTGAAAAGTGAACGCGACAACAACAAACCTAAATGCAGTGCGTTGGTAAAAATCTTGAACATGTTAAGAATGCTGGCAAGGTTGTCTGCCACGGCAGCTGCTGTTTTGTGGGCCTCCATCACAGACCCGATCCTCCGACTTTCCGACTGCGTCTCAATCCGAGAGTCTAACTTAATTAAATTGGATTTTATGTGCCGGATTGGATCGGCCATTTGGGGCCTCGACGACCATGACGAGGTGAGGCTAATCAAATGGCCAAATTGTAGGCGCGCTTACCATTCGGCTACCACCAGTCAGATACTCAGCCAGTCAGCCGGAGTAATGAGCTTTTTGTCGGCTACACGACTCTATTATGATGAACATGGCAATCGTCCAGCGATAAATATCAATTAAGACACCGTCAAATGGCTCAATGGCAGCAAGAAAAATGGTAAACTAATACCGCAGACATGCTAATGTTTTGCTCTACATTGAGGCTGTGCGTAAACAAAATGTCACACGCCATTAAAATTAATAGCATGTTTAAAATCGCAAAAAGCCAAGTAAAAATAAATGCAAGACATATTAAATAGAGAAAAAGGAGTCAGCCGTAGTGGAGGCAGTCAAACCGGGTCGATAATACAAAATTTCGGCATTTAATGCTCATACGACAACGTCAACCCCGAACAAAAATTGACTTAAATAAAAGAATAAAAAACGTGGCACGAACAACTTTTCAAAAAAATGCGTGGTACATTGTTAATACTGATCTTGTTTTTATTTTTCTTGCTGCTTTGGTCCAAAAATGTTGCACAATATTCGTGCGTTCATGCAAAGCAATTGTCAAATGCAACAAAGCCCAAAGCCAAAGGCCAAAAAATCGATATCGACCAAAACCCCAAAATGTACCACAGGAAAACCCCATTCTGCGGTGCTTTGGCGAAATTAATATCAATTGCTCCGCGTTTTGACGTTTTCTGGTTTACGTTTATTACTATTGGACTCCTTTGCATTAGTTTATTGTATAGAGGTACTCCCTCCGAGTTTTGACTTATGCTGAAGGCCTGCCTGATTTGTATGTGCGGTTTGACAAATTAAATTAATTGGCTCGTACTGATATACCGCAGATCCAACGAGGCTCTAAATGATTGGTTCGCCGAAGGTGCAGCTCGGTCTGGCAAATTGAATAAGTACGTGTAGAAAAAAGAAACGACTGCAGATTGAGATTTTATTTGTACATGGGCATTGAAGATCACAGATTGCGGTGTAGGAGTTGTTTTGCGGGTCTGAGCCGTCACTAAATAATTACTAAGTTGTTTGGCTGTTGGAAGTGAAATGTGTTTTTGCTGTATTGCACTGAGTTTATTGGCTAAAAACCAAGATAGAAGTGGTTAATTTAACTTTTACTGTACTTTAGGGTGATTATACGCAATTTTAAATGTAAATTTTTATTTATTGATCAATGGCATACGCTCAAGCAACCAATCATGAGTTTGACAACATTTTTCTTAAAGTTGTCGAGCCTCATAAATAAATGGTATTTGTATTGTAACACAATACAAACCTTGAACTTTTAGAACTGTTTCTAAATATTGCCAACGGCCATAAATTGGGATTTGCTTATTTTATTGCATTTAAAATTACTTAAGTAATTTATTTGCTTACCAATGGCATTTTAGAACGACATTTCGTAAACTGGAAGTCGAATGGAAAATTTTAGTAGCCTAAAAACAATTTCAGTTTCAATTAATATTAAATACTGATGATGGTACTGATTGATGTCGTGGATTATTTTATCAGTCAAAGAAAAAATTGCAGTCATGACTTAAATTTCCAGCAAGAACCTTACATAAGAACATTGATTCCATTGCCAGACAAGTTCAAGAACATAACATGCGAGTTGCGTATAACATTAGAGGATAATCCACTATTAAGAATATCACTAATTTGTTTACATAATTTTTTTCATGTTATATTTTTAATTAACTAATCTCTAACTAACTAATATAATTTTTACATGGCTATGTGAGGCACCAAAATCGAAAGACTTAAGACACGAACTGCGCTCTACAAAACTCACCACAGCAGCACAATATTCACCTCACAACAAACCACACGCAGCCAAGTCCCAATCCACTCAAACTTTCGCTCAAAAACGAGTCTTTCTCGGGGCGTCTGTGTGTTTTCTGTTTTTTGCCGCTGCTGCCGCCGGCACTTGGCAGCTGATAACCGAAGTCGGCTGACTGCTATCGCCACTCCACAGACGCCGACGTCGACGTTTGTTAGCTTCTTTTTTTGGCTTTTCTGTGGCAGCATCGGCTGGCGGAGCTCAGTTAATTGTTGGACACACTCCGTGGCGGTTGTGCAGCCGGAAGAAAATAAGAAAAGAAATCGACTTCGGGCTCTTTCGTGTGAGTGAGTGAGTGTGCAGGAAACCAAGTGCATTGCGGAGAATAAGTAAAAATTAGTGACAAAAGGGTGAAACCCGATAGTAAAAGTAACCCGCAGCCGTGACAAGTGCTCGATAATTGCCAAGTTCTGGCTACCAAAACGAAAGACTTAGGCAACGAACTCTGCGTTGAACTCTTCGCGCCAGCACGTTTTTAATTGAGGCCAACTTGGCGTGGGCCATCGTCTGCCATAATTGGATTAATTCCCAGCTCTTGGGCTTTAAGTATTCGCTAACCAAATATAAGCATTGGCTTATACATACCCAAACGCATTTAGAGAAGTCATTAACAACAACGGCCAACGGCCAAGTGGGAACGTGCAACGTCAACAAAATGATCTTAAGGTATGTTCGCTGGCTATTTTTTAATGAGCCGTACTCTCAGTTTTGGTACACATTTTTCTAGTTAATTTCCTGTGTGTGGCAAGTGTTCGTTTAGGCGTCTCGGAAATGTCTAGACCAACTTGGTGACTGGTTCTAGCCATATTCCTGCTCATTTTTATGTAATTTTTACGTGTTTGTCGCTGGTTTATGACAACTTTCTGAAAACATTTCTCCGGCATTCTCGTTGTGTTCTTTTCTTCTTTATTTTTATTATTCTCTGCGTATGTTTTAGCTGGAAGTCGTTGGCACAGAAAGTTTTCGTTCGGTATGTGCGGCATTCTGGTGACTTTCGACGAGTGATTAAACGGCATTGCGCCATATATGTGTTTTGATTATTTCATTTATATGCAGGCCAACCTCGGTTAGTTGCTTGGCTTTTGCTTGTCTAACAACTTCCCATGCTAATGGCTTCCTGCCACTTTCTATCTGACCATCCACGAGCCATAATGATGAACAAATCAGCGCCTGGAGCAACGGAATTAATGAGCGTGTAGGTTACGCTCTTGGCCATCTCAGCTTCCGACGAAAAGCTGAAAATCACACCTCCGATGCGGGCTTAAAATAGAGCTCAGCGGGAGTTTCTGGCTTCAATTTAAATAACAATTAGTTGTAAGAAAAAAAATACGGCTTTAAGCGCCAGGCGCTTTATTGCTTATTGATTGTTATAAGCAGCTTGAAAAGGTCTGTACATAATTTGATGTCTTACATTTTTATTTAGTACGCAGTATTTAGATGAATCGATTTTCAGATGTTTTATCCTATTCGTTTTTTCAAAAGTATCATAATCAATCCCTTTTGTCTTCCTTTGAGGAAAACAATTTACTTTATAGACTTTTCTCTATAAAGTAACATTTTATGTACATCTTTTGTGTATT